GCCACTAACTGCTTCATTTGTGGAAACAATTTGAGGAAGGGAAAAGAAGTGTTGGGACCATTGCCACTTTACGGGACAGTATAGAGGATGCGCCCACGAGGACTGTAATCTTCGATTTAGTATGAGATATTATAAAATCCCTGTGTTTCTTCATAACCTTAAAAACTATGATGCCCACTTAATCATCAACAAGGCTCACGAACTGAACAAGAATTCTAAAATAGAATGTATCGCTCAGAACAGCGAAAAGTTTATAACCTTTGGTTTTAAAAATCTTTGTTTCAAGGACAGTTTCAGTTTCTTATCGTCTTCGTTGGATAAGTTGGTCAGGTTGAGTAAATATGAGGATGATAAAAAGCGTGAGAATTGGAAGAACAATTTCAGATACAGCGTTAGAAACCCGTATGTTAAAACCGATGAAGATTTGAATTTATTAACTGATAAGGGTATTTATCCCTATGACTACTTTGATGATTTTGAAAGATTTAAGGAAAGGGCTTTACCACCGAAAGAAGCGTTTTACAGTAAATTGAGTGAAGAACATGTAAGTGATAAAGATTATGAAAGGGCACTGAAAGTATGGAAGCACTTCGGGATTAGAACACTCGGGCAGTATCACGACTTGTATTTAAGAACTGATGTTTTACTACTGACCGATGTATTTGAAAACTTTAGAGACTTGTGTATGGAATACTACGGTTTAGACCCCGCTCATTATTACACATTGCCAAATTTCGCATGGGACGCGATGCTTCTAAAAACTGGTGTTGAAATAGAACAATTGCATGACCAAGAAATGTTTGAGATGGTTGAAAAGGGAATGAGAGGTGGTATGTGTCAGGTTAGTCATAAATTAGCGGTGGCAAATAATAAGTATATGGGGGAAGCATATGATGAGAACAAGCCATCAAATTATATTAGCTACTTGGATGCTAATAACTTGTATGGTTTAGCAATGTCCCAGAAATTACCGCTAAAAAATATCAAGTGGGCAAAGAAAACGCCCAGTGTTGAAACATGGAATGAAAACGATGAGTTCGGTTATATTATGGAAGTTGATTTGGAATATCCCGAAACATTGCACGACTTCCACTCTGACTATCCACTAGCGCCTGAAATAATGAATGTAAATGTTAGTATGCTTTCTGATTATCAAAAGCAAGTCTACAAAATATATTATGATGGCAAAAATCCCAAGGATGAGAAAACAAGTAAGTTAATATTAAATCTAAAGGATAAAGAAAAATATGTGGTTCATATCAAGACTTTACAGTATTATTTGAAAATGGGAATGAAAATGACAAAAGTCCATAGGATAATAAAATTTCAACAGAGGGCATGGTTGAAACCGTGGATTGACTTCAACACTGGTAAAAGGAAAGAAGCCAAAAGCGATTTTGAGAAAGATTTATTCAAATTAATGAATAATTCTGTGTATGGAAAAACTATGGAAGACAAACGAAATCATATGGACTTTGAATTAGTTGATAATGAAGTTAGATACGAAAAATGTGTTAATAATCCAACATTCAAAAATAGATTTATTATTAATGAAAACCTTGTAGGAGTTGAAAAAACTAAAGCGAAGCTGAAACTGGACAAACCGATTTTCTTAGGAATGACAATCCTTGACATCAGTAAATTACATATGTATCAGTTCTACTATGATGTTCTTAAGAAGAAATACAATGAAAACATCAAACTGGTTTATACTGATACTGACAGTTATGTAATTCAAACATTCACTGAGGACATCTACAAGGACTTCAAAGAATTAAACCAATATATGGACTTTAGCGATTATCCACCTGAACACCCCTGCCATGACCAAACAAATAAGAAAAAACTCGGTTATTTCAAGGATGAGTGCAACGGTCAAACAATAACACAATTCATAGGGTTAAAGCCTAAATCGTATGCTTTTACAATACACGGTGAAGAAGAAGAACAAAAGAAATCAAAAGGTGTAGTGAAACACAAGGTGAAGAAAGAACTGACTTACCAAAACTACCACGAAGCATTATTTCAAAACAAAAAGCATGAAATAACATATAATTTTATTCGTAGTCGCAACCATCAATTATTTTCAATGTCTCAAGTCAAGCAATCACTCAGTAATTATGAAAATAAAAGGTTTTACATTGATGCTTTCAATTCACTGCCTTATGGACATTATAAACTGCGTTAAAGAAAAGATAACTAAGGTTATTAATGGATAGCAGTAAATATAAAAACGCAAAGATTTACAAATTAACAGATGTTGGTTATAATAAGTGCTACATCGGAAGCACCTGTGAAAGCTTGAGCCAAAGAATGGCAAGACATAGACAAAATTATAACAAGGCAGAACAATGGAATAATAAAACAAACTGTCGTTTGTTGTTTGATGAATATGGAATGGACAACTGTAAGATTGAATTATTAGAAGACTACCCATGTGAAAACAGAGAACAGTTAATGAAAAGAGAAGGTTATTACATTCAAAATAATGATTGTGTGAATAGATGTGTGGCAGGTAGAACAATTAATGAGTGGAAGGAAGACAATAAGGAACACTATCAAAATATGAGGAAGGAATACGCAGAAAACAACAAAGAACATATATGTAATAAAAGTAGGGAGCACTACCACCAAAACAAAGAAACAATATTGGAAAAACGAAAAGAACCTATTGAATGTGAATGTGGTGGTGTTTTCAGGAAATGTGATATAAGAAGACACGAGAGAACTGAAAAACATCAACGATATGTATGTGAAAATATTAATATCTAAATAGTTCTAATAATATATGCACTTATTAGAACTATTTAGTGGTACTTCTTCAGTTGGTAAAGTAGCAAAGTCGCTCGGTTATAATGTTATATCATTGGATTTGAAAACGGTGGGTAAAACTCCCCAATTAAGGGGGGCGAACTCCCCAATTAAGGGGGCGAACTCCCCAATTAAGGGGGGCGAACTCCCCAATTAAGGGGGGCGAACTCCCCAATTAAGGGGGGCGAACTCCCCAATTAAGGGGGGCGAACTCCCCAATTAAGGGGGGCGAACTCCCCAATTAAGGGGAGAAAGGCTCAAGTAACAAGGTCTGGCTCACACAACACAGTCAGGCTCACACAACACAGTCAGGCTCACACAGCAAGGTTTGGCTCACACAGTAAGGTCTGGCTCGCACAGCAAGGTCTGGCTCACACAGACATTTAAATTAAACCTGAAACCCAGACCAGCCGACCAGCAACCCCTAGCCAAAACTACTTAAAGAGAAAAAGCCTTATATATTAAGAGAAAAATGAGTAAGGGTAAAATGTCAGAGAATAATTTTATGGATGAGAATTGCGCTAGCTTACCTGAAGGCTTAGTTTCAATCATCACTACTTACATTAATGGTTGTGAAGGGTGGCGAAGACTGAAACAATGTGATGCTTTAAGAGAATTACAAAGGAAATGGAAACCGTCTATTTACACTGAACGAGTAGGAGAAAGTAGATATTATGTTGAGATTCGCAATAAATGCTTAAATGGTGATAAAGCGCTTTCATATGCGTTGAAACCACCAAAAGAATTATTAAGAATGATGAAGTATGATGAAGAAATACAGGTTGGAATAGTAGTGAGTTCAAAAATTATGTATAATAATAATATTTGCAACAGTCGTTCTTATTCATCATCTAAACAGAATAAGATTTCAAGTAGAGCGTCATTACAATACCATATTGAACAAGCAGTTGAAGAAACCAAACAGACTATGAAACGACACGAAATCATTACTATCGAACATGTTGCAATTGAAATTTATAGAAAACAGAAACAATGATTTCATGGCTTAATCATAATATTTAATTATAATATGATTAAACAGTGTAAACTTTTATAACCTTTCATTATACTGTAATTTCAACCTATAAAACATAACTAGACAATCACATAAAAATCACATAAAAAGAAGTTGTTAAGATATATTAAGAAATGGTTGTGAAGCAAACTATAATGAATAATTATGGAATGACAGAAGAATAAGCAACAGAAGACTATGGTGAATTCTTCAAATGCAACAGATGTCTTTATGATAAAACAATTGATGAATTTGGAAATGTAAAAAGTGGAAGAAGATATAAATATTGTAAAGAGTGTAGAACAAAAATAAATAATTGTAGAGATAAACGTCAAAGAAACAAACGACCCACCAACACCCCAGAACTTGATAACTACTAAAAGGGTTAACTCTTTCAAATGAAAAAAATGTCGGCCCCCAGCCCAACAATGAACAAGGCGACAATTTACCCAAGTGATTACCTTAACGAAAACGATAAATAAGCTCCCTAAAAACCCTCTTTTAAAAACGAATAAGGGGGAACACAGATTTGAGATGAACATAAAAACCAGAACAGGCAACCCTCAACAGACTTCCCCCCAGGCCCCCTACTTCTTCTATTTTTTGGGGGGAGGGGGGGGGGGGAGGGGGAGGGGCGGGGGGGGTGGGGGGGGGGGGAGGGGGGGGGGAGGGGGGGGGGGAGGGGGGGGGGAGGGGGGGGGGAGGGGGGGGGGGGGAGGGGGGGGAGGGAAGAGAGGGGGGGGGGGGAGGGGGGGCAGGGGGGGGGGGGGGGGGGGGGGGGGGGGTAGGGGGGGGGGGGAAAATCCAGAATTCCAGAAATCGAGAGATCCAGAAATCCAGAGATCCAGAAATCCAGAAATCCAGCCGACGTAGAAACCAGCCCCAAGGGCCGCCCCAAGGGACATATAGGTTATATATATATATATATCTACATAATCATTTTCACATTAAACTTATAGAACGCATATCAACAAAAGCAACGCAGAACACACCGCCCCCATGCCGAAAGCATGGTCCATTCTGGACCAGGCATGGGGTCGGCGGATTTGGTGCAAGCGCCAGAAATAAGAGCGTATGTAGGCCAAGATCAACCTGAAATGAGGGATTTTGGAATGCGAGCAAGGCGGGACGCTAGCAGAATCAGGGCAACGGCGTTTCGGCCGAGACAAAAAGTATGGCCGGAACAGCGCCGCCAACTGCGGAAGAGGGCAGCTTCCGCCAGGGTTACAATTGTTTCGCCAGACCCAAAAGGAGGGAATTTGAGCGAAGGCGGCTCGCAACAACTTTATTCAAGGGTCGTCTCCCTTCAAAGGTTACAGGAGTTTGGTTTCAGCCTTTATTGGCTTCAACAGGCTGCACACCAGAACAAGACTGTTGAACGGATACAGGTTGAAGCAACCGGGAAACCTTCCAAAGGTGCTTACACAGATTTAGTCTCAACAGATAAACATGGAGCCTCCGAAACCAACCCTTTTAGCGACATCTGTCGGTTTCTGTCGGTTTTCACTCTTTTTTTGAGGCCGTAAATTTTGCAACGCAAAGGGAAGCCAAAAAGACCCAGAACCAACACGGGGCCGTGGCCAAACCCAACATGCCAAGCCAACATGGGTGTGTCTCTTTTTTGAGGGTACCCCTTTTTCGTTTCTTTAAACATACACCAAACGAACAACCGAAGCTGTTTTCTTTCTCTTTCTTCTTTTTTGGGAGGTTCCCGAACCAACAGACACATCCAAACATTGCAGAGGCATCTCCCTTTCCATTCGCCTTGGCTCTTGCTCCCTCCCTGCCGCGCGCGTCCGCGCGCACCGCCAGGGCGGCGCGCAGTGCGTGCTCCGCGCTGCTGGTGGTGGCGCACGCGGACGACGAGACTCTCTTCGCAGGTGCGCTGAAGGGTCCGCGCTGGGTGGGTTTTCCTGGGAGTCCAAAGGAGTTAGCTCGAGTCAGGTGGAGCCCACAACTGAGTCCTTGGAACCAAATGTTGGGAGGAGATCAAGTCCAGCTATCTAGAATTGTAGGAACATGTATAGAACTAGGTGACCTCAACTAGGTGACCTGGCTTTTCCAACCATTATGATCCATATGACAGCTATTCAAAAGGAACACAAGTCAAAACGGTCAAAGAGAAACCAAACAACTGTTCAAAGCCCCCCCCCCCCCACACCCAACCCGTCGTGCTAACCCCTCGAATTGCCCATTGGCTATATGTATCGACCATTTGGAACACAGGGAGGCTCACCCAAGACTTCAGGAAGCTAACCCTAGGTGGGCTAAACTTTCACTTGCTTAATTTACCTCCCGACAGAAGGGGCGCAGGAACTGTAGGAATATTTTATCATATTTCGTCCATCTGCGGTACAGCTGCCAACTCAATATTGCAAGCAAAGCAAGTTGGAACCCATGGTTTACCATAGTTAAGGGAACAATGAAACATGGGAACAAGTTGGAACCCTCCAGCTTGCCCTAGCTTACCCAAGGTGTTGCTTTGGTAGCAGGTGTTGCGTCCTTTTCCCCAAAATTTCCCCCAGGGCCGCGGGTTTTGCCTGTTCTTCCGCCGTCCAAAAGCCAGGCGAGGCCCTGCTGGGGCGGGCGGCCCGGCTGTGCGCGAAGACCACCTGGCCTGGGACTCGGGCCCCGCGCAGCGAAGCCGGAAGCTCCCCCAATTGCAGCGGTGGGCAAAAATAGGGTAAAATGGCAAAAGCCAAAAGGTAAAACTCACCTCCTGAGTTCATGAACTTTAAACTTTTTGGGAAGACCATTTTAGTGGTAATTATAAAGTTTGAACTTTTTTTGGGCCATCCACTCAGCCAGTGAGAAAGGCACCAAAAGGTAAAAGCCAAAAGGTAACAGGGTAAGCTCCCCCAAAATGTTTCACCAAAGGATGGAGATAATGGCTCAAACCTGTGGTCCAATTCCCAGTGGTTCAATTTTGACCCATACCCAATTGGCCGCTGTAGATGGAAGAAAGTCTTCCAAAGGGGTGCAGGGAGAGGCCCGTGTTTGGGGGGAGGGTAAGGAAGGGAAGCCTAGACTATGGCATGGCTGGTCTGGGGCAAGCGCTTTGGTGTTTATTTTTTCCAGGAACCGAAAGGAGAACCCCCTCAAAATGGAACGTGCCCTGGTAGATGGAAAGGCCTCTAAGACATGGCCGGCAAGCCTTAGTACGTGGAAAGGACGATTTAAACCGCTGATGCTCCTGGTGTTTTACTTTTTGTGGGTGGCATTTTTTGAGTTGGTACCTTTTTGATTGAGATGAAGGTACCCCATGTGACACGTACCAGGGAGTTGTTTTGGGTTTGTCTCCAGAACAAGGTTTGACATGAATGTTAATGGTTGGAACCTCCTCAGTGGTTGGTAGACTCATAGATCCCCAGTTTGGGCCATCAAAATTCATGCCCGTCTGTTTTGGGACCCGTGGGACCGGTACCGTCCCAGAAAAGCCACGTGCTTTCCCCGGACCCGCAAGCCAATAAAAATGCCCGAACTTCCGTTCGTATTGTTTTCTGTGATCAGCCCAACCATAGTGGGGTTAGCGGACGACTCCTTGCCTAGCCCATGGTTTCCAGGCCGGTGAGTTGTCGAGTTTCGTAAGCGCGTCAACGTACAGATTTGGGTGATACGGCGATACCAAGTTACTATTTTGATTGAATTGTCCGACGCGTGTTTTCCTTCCCGAGCACGTATCATCAGAACCCATGGATTGTAGCAACTTTTTTGAGGCTGCACCGGAAGAACTTGCACCGTCAAAAATGACATCTCTCCCTCTCCCTCTCCCTCTCAATCTCTCTCTCTACAAGTCAACGGATTTGTTGACGAGTCTTCATTTATCAGTGGTGCATGTTTAGTCGGCTAGTACAGGTGGCGGGTGTTGCCATGTCACCGCTTCCTGCAAGCCCCTTTAGTTTGAGAGGAAGCCAAACGTAGAAACCGGATCGGAGGACAGAGGACACAAGGTGCCAACCTTTGCCAAACTTAGCTAGCGTACCTTTTCAGGTTTTCCTGGGATTGCTCTTAGAAAAGGGTCTACTCACTCCCTGGCCTTGAGTTTCTTTTTGAGCTTGGACAATTTTAGTGGGACACAAAGCGTTTGTTCTATTTTGGGCCATCCACTAGATCGGAAGTGAGATGGTCATGTTGCTCCTATTTGGCTGTTCAAAATCTCCGATCACCTTGACCTTAAAAACATCCCTTGCTTGTTGGTGCCCCACCTAGGGTCCTAGAAGCTCATTTTCCAGGTGTCATGGTGAGAGCCAAACAAGTGAAGGCAAGGGAAGGTTGGGAAAGGAAGAAACTGGTGCAGCCACCCTTTTGATGGTTCACCATGGACATTTGGATTTCCCACTTTTCAGGTGACCCTTAGTCTTTGGATTTGAACCTCCGGGTTCTTCTCGCAGGACTTCTGATATATTTCCCCCCCCCCTCCCCCCCTTCCCCCCTTCCCCCCTTCCCCCCCCCCCTCCCCCCGCCTCCCCCCGTCTCCCTCCTCCCCCCCTAGCTCCGGCTCCAAACCACCGGACATCGGCTCCAAGCCGCCGATTTCGGGGAAGCTCGCCCTCGGCCCCAGCCCCGGTTTCCGCAGGCACGTGGTGGTGGCCACAGGCCAGGCCACCCGCCGCGAGAAGGACGCGCGACCGGTGGCGCATACGGTGGGGGGGGGCATACGGTGGATGGTTGCGAAATCCATGTCGCAGCTTGAGAAACTATGGTTGAAACCACAAGGTTGGTTGGTTGGTAATTATTTTTTTGCCGGGGATCGGCACATTCTAGAGTTTTTCTTGGGTGGTGCGAAATGGATCTCGCAACCATCCGCAGGTGTCCTTTTTAGGAAACACCTGGTTGAAAACGGATGGGTTCCACTGGTTTAGATGGATTTAGTTGCATGTCCCAGGGCCATGGAGTGGCCACAGATGGTTGGGGGGTCCCGGATGTTTTGGACACCAAGGCTATGCGCCGGGTTGCTCCATCAGGCGAAACTGCCTTAGCTGTTGTAGCATGGCCTCCGTACTTCCAACACCCATGCCGGAAAATTCGCTTGATTCCTTGCCATGGTATGAATGACAAGGTTTCAAGCATGCACTTACAGCAGGTCTATTTGACGCAACATCATTTGCGGAATCTTCCCCGGGCAACCCCCGCGCTTTTCTAGCTTTGATTCCCCGAGGTGCCATGTCTTGACAGTCTGAGTAATCATCAACTGTTTGCCATTTGGAACGACGCTGCTGTTCAAGACCGCAGAAAGTCGGACATGCCACCCTTGCCTCTTTTCTGATCTTTATGTGCAAGTGCATTTGCAGTGGTTTGCCAGCTGGGATTTGGGGCCTTCACCTGCAGCCAAGCTCAAGATAAGACGATGTGCTGTTTTGGTTTGAAGGGAAATGGTTCTGCAAAGAGATGCCTTTCTGAGCAAGCGGCGCTGGGAAATTCGACTGGAAGTTAGCCAACCCACAGCATTATATCTCCGGTTGAGGGGTCCCTTTTTTCCGCTTCAGACATCACCCTGTTGTCATTTCAGACATCACCTCTGTTGTCATTGGAACCAACCACTTGGTGCATCGAAACCTCCTTGCTCAAGCTCGGCCTTTAAGTTACCCTATCTGCTCCGACCTCCGCTTCATACGCAATCTCCAGCGCGTGCGCAGCATCATGGCCATCTTTGCCCTGATCGCAGTGACGCTGACTGCTGCAAGTCATGCCAGAAGGAGTGCACACTACCCTGTCAGCACGTGACATGGCACGTGCGAAGCAGCTGGTGCCTGGCCCGCAGTTTCTTGCGGCGCATGGGGAGTCAAACGGTCTGTTGAACAAGCATCTTCTGCGCATCACCAAGGGCAACGCAAAGCCTTGCGAGGACTTCGCCTCAGAGGACTTGGATTATGTCCTCGCAGCCATTGATGAGAAGAGCCATCCAGAGTTGCAAGAGATCTATGAGAGCAATCGCCACCCAAACAACGAGCACTGGAAGGATAGCCGTGGCACTGAGGCAGCCACACTGCATGAGGACAAGCTCGCAGAGCACCCAGAGCTTCATGCAATGGTAAAGTCTGAGAAGAAATGCTATGATGCCGCAATGCGCTTTACCCACAGCATCAGTGATGCGGATAAGAAGGGCCTCCTCGCCAGCCACAAGATCCCGTTGCTTCCAGAGCGAGGTGCTCATGAAACCGAGGCACTGTTGCAGCGGACTCTGGGAGATTGGGCAGCCGGAGAGCGGGTCTTCAATGCCAATTGTGCCGCTTGCCATGCTGGTGGGCAGAATGTGGTTTCTCCTGATAAGCCACTGAGTGCTCGTGGATTGGCGGAGAATGGCATGTCAGGCCAAGGTGACATCGTGAAACAAGTCACCAATGGCAAAAATGCCATGCCAGCATTTGGAGGACGACTCAGTGATGATGCCATTGCGGATGTCGCAGAGTACGTCGTGCAGCAGTCTAACAGCTGGTAGGCCACCGGCGCTGGAGGAGTCTTTGGCAGGCAATGCCCTGAACCGTTTTTGAACCATTGACTCCATTGCCATCGGCACAGGCGGGAGCCCTTCGCCAGCGGTGCACGCTATAGCCGGCACTGATCGGTGAACATTCTAGTGGTACCCTCCCCATTCTCTTTTTTTTTTCTTCTTTCTAGAAAACCTCCGGAAACCCCGAGAAAAGGGCTGGTTCTTGAAAGAATGGGGAATCAACCACTGGAAACTTCTTCACTGCCCTGCAATGACCTGGCAACAGTCAACCTGGCGGCTCGACAGGGTGCTCCCGACACTGAAGGATTCTCTTCAAAATCACGCAACCCTGAATTGATGGTTTGGATGGGTTTGCTGGGTGTGTTCATCTGGCTATGATTGCTCCAAGTGATCATGGTGATGTTCATCAAGACTCCAAAGATTGGTCCCCCATTTGCTTCACAGTCTAAGAAGGGCCCTGCAAAGAGGAACAGCTACATGGCAAAACTGGGCGCCCTGTGTGGAACGGTTTGCTTGGAGTTAAAAGCCTCGTTGCAGTGGTTTGCCAGTTGCGATTTTGGGGGAGATTTGATTGGTATAGCCTTCACATGCAGCCAAGCTCGAGATAAGACGATGTGCTGTGTTCCCTGTCGGTTTGAAGGGAAATGGTTCTGCGAAATGGTTCTGCCTTTCTGAGAAAGCAGCGCCGAGAAATTATACCGGATTTTTTCGCCAGCCCACAGCATGATATCTCTGGTAGAGGGGTCCCCTTTTTTTTTCCCCCGCTTCAGACGTCACCTCTGTTGTCATTGGAACCAACCACATTACGTTGGTTTGACTGACACACCAAAACACACCCAACCCACCCCAACCCAACCGCCAAGCAAAGCCAAGCCAAGCCAAGGTAAGCCAAGCCACCCAACCCAACCCAACCCAACCCAAGCCAAGCCAAGCCCAGCAAAGCCAAGCCAAGCCACGCAAAGCAAAGCCAAGCCAAGCCAAGCCAAGCCAACCCAACCACCCTCCTCATATTCGGGCTGTGAAATTCTCGAAGAACACAGCACTTGTCCTTTGCTCCTTTTTGGCATTACTGTATCCATATACCCTTTCACAATTCTGCATGTTTCGTATTTCTTCATTGCCACAACAGCCCGAGGAAACCTCAACTCTATACGGAAATTCTTTAGTAGCCTTCCGCAAATTGCATCCTCGTTGGTAACATTCGAATAGCTGAAAACCCGAAGCAGCTCAACTTGATGGTTTGGGTTGGGACATACCCTCCCATCAATGAACATGGAACCTGACAGGGACCCGGTCCCTTGAAAAGGAAAAGGTCATGTCAGGTTCCATGTTCATGGGTGAGAGGTTAACCGAAGACTTCAGTTGGTGCGGCGCTCCCGCTCCCTTTGCAAGATCCGCTCGCCAGGAGCTGCGGGTGGTGCTGAACATTGCCCGGCCTGGGGCTCGGGCGAAGGAGTGGGCTCGTTTGTCAGGTACCCGTTTGGATTGGTGGTTTGGATTCGGATTTGAACAGGTCCCTGGCTCTTGTAGAGGGTACGCGAACCAGCAAACCACCAATCCAAACCACCAATTGGAGGGAACCTGATTTTTGGCGGCGTTAAAGGGACACCAAAAGGAAAGCCGTTGCGCCATTTGGGGGCTCAAAAGACACCCCCATTGATTGCGCCCGGCAAAAGACATCCTCATTGATTGCGCCCGGGGTTTGACGGCGGGCGGGGGGGGTGGGGTGGAAGTTGTGTGATGTTTTTTTTGGGAGGAAGGCTTGGTCATCGACTCCATGTGAAGCGATGTCGGTGGGCGCTTTTGCTGGCAAGGGAACCCTTGATTTCGCGGAACGGTTGTGGCTCCACGTGGCAGGTCTCCAAGAAAAGCACTTGGTGACTACACGTGTCCGTCCACCCGTATGGTTTGAAACAGCGGTACAGCTCCTCAAAAAGGCATGACCAATCGCATGGGCGTCTGGTTCAGTTGGGAAGGCAGCTGGATTCCAGCAGGTTTCAGTTGGTTTCAACCAAGCTGCCGCACCTTTTTTTTTTTCCGAGACAGGACCTTTGGGTGGTCATGGGTTGCGGAGTCATTTGGCGTGCCTGCCAGTAGCCTAGAAATGGCCGAATTGTGATGCGAATTGTGAGCTGCTGGGCGGGAGGGTTGGCCTTCGGAAGCGATACGGCCGTGGGTCAACACCACTGGGATCCCATTTTGGTTGGTAGGTGAAATCACCACCCAGTTTGGAACCTATTTTGGTGGTTGGATTGGGAGGTTTACTGGGGGTGCGATTTGGGTTTTGATCCATGGCCATATGGCCGCATTTTTGCCCAAAGGGTAGCCTCTTTGGGGTAGTTTTGTGAAGGGAAATCACCCAATTTGGGCCCCAACAGCCGCTGAGCAAGAACAAAGAATGTGCTCGCTCTCTAGTTTGGTTGCTAGGGCCAATTCGCTGGCTGCTTCCATCACGTCAGAGGCGCGGATGTGGGATCGTCGAGACTCGGTGGTACGGACCCGGGATGCAGCTTGTGAGTCGAATCGAATCGGGCCCTTGATTCCTTTGGAAGGACGCGGGGCAAGCAATGGACGTGTCTTTGTTTCGGTGACCTCCAAAATGTTTGGTTTTCAAGTTGGTTTCCCTTTGAGCCAGCCAAGAATGGTACCCCTTCAAAAAAAGACCAAACGAGCACATTGGGAGCCCAGGATTCATTTACCTCACCACTGGCAGTGTGGGCAAATTGCTATGTCGAGTTTTCTTTTGGTGATACTTGAAGGGGAAAATGCCGCGAAGTCCAAAGCCCAAACGAAAGGACAATAGCAGGGACTCCCTTTTCTCTCCCCAAGAGGAGGGATTGCGCAGGTTTTCCGGAAGATTGAGGAAAGAGAGCTTGGGGTCCCACCAAGATTTGTGAGTCCTTTTTGGTTGGATGGGTCGCTTTGTTGTCTCACAGAAAGGAGCAGCATCTTCTGTTTTTGCCACATGATGACCCAGGATTCCAGGGAGCCATTTGGGTGTGTCTTTGTTTAGGGCAGCCCTCAAAGTAGTGTGTTTCCCTCTGGTTTCCCTTTAGAACCAAAAACGGGGCACCCTCAAAAAAAAGACACCCATTTGCATCCAAGCATGTCAGAAGAGGGGGAGTCTTGACCGCCAGCGCGGTCAGGTTTGGGACTATGACGACTGTGACTACTTGACCGCGGCCCAGGGGTTGGGAGCGTTATCCAGCGATGTGGATTGTGAGTTTAGTCAGCTGGATTCCAAATCGGACAGGTTTTTTTTAGACTTTGGTCTTCCATTCGCTTAATAAGTTTGTTTGTTTTCCCTGAAATTTTCCCCTGTTGGTTTCAATGGGAATCTGTCACTGCTGGATTTTTTTTTTCAGGGGGCTTAAGCAAATGGAAGCCTGGTGGAAACCTTTCGACTGGTGCTTGGGATTTGGATTTCATCCCCGCTTCCCTTAGAAGCCAAATGGAGAAGGTACCTAAGTTGGTCGGGGCCTTCGGTTGAGCCACAATGTAAGGGATGGTCCCAACCAGACATATGCGCGGCCATCTTTGTATTTCTTTAGGTGGATTTGGGTATACATCTAGGGGATGCTTCTCCATTCTCTTAAACCATCGTTCTTTCCAAACAAAAGCTGGCCCCTTTTCCTTCTCTGGGTTTCAGGAGGTTTTCCAGAAAGAAGGATCCCTGGAAAGCATGGGGCAGGTACCCCTGGAATGCATTTGTCATACCATGGTTTCGATTGTGGCGAGCAGCTGGAGCCGTTGGTTTGAAGCCGCCGCCGAGCCAACGAGCCGGGAGCGATCACAAGTTCAGCGGCCGCCCGGATCTTTCCTTTTTCTTACAGAAAGTTGATCCATACGTTCCCTGAAAGGCCCCCAGTTTTGACCAAGCCCATTTTCTGGTTTTCTCCAATGGTTGTCCCATGTAAAGCACCTTTTGCTCTACCCCATGGGATGGCTACTGTAGCGTCTTTCCATGAAAACAGCTGGCCTTCATACCGTATGTTGGTGGAGGCCCGCTTTGAACAGACGGAAGATAAGCTCCGGCGTGGGTCTCGCCAGCGGAGTTCGGCGATGATCGCCGCTGCCCTCGGCACTGACAACCCAGGTAAACCAATCACGCTTGCAAGCAGCAGCATGTTGCAGGACATATTGATTTATTAGTGCAGGCTGGATGAATAGCTTGACTGGAGCGGCATGATTCATCATAGGACCACGCTACGATGTGCCCCTGGAAAGAAGGCCGACTGATTGTGGAGATTTTGCATGTTCTCAAGTGACTTAATGACAGGTTTAGTACCCACTGATTTTCTAAGTATTTTGCAGTGAGCAAGCGGACTCTTGCAAAACTTACCAGGCTTTTCTGAAAGAACCATGATTAATATAGCTGCTACTTCAGAGGCGATCGGGTACTTAGTCAGCAAGTGGGTTATAAGCATGGTGACTAACCACTGAGAGGCTTCCCTTTGCTACTTGTTCGCTACTGATGGAATCACCTCGCTGTCTCGGACGCGAAGGCAAGTGCTCGGCTCACCGAGGTCGTGCGAGCAATTCCTAGGCCTGAGGGGGGCGGGGGGGCGGGGGGGGCGGGGGTTTTCCACAGGTGGCTGTGGGATGGAAGGGGAGAGATGCGCTTGCGAAAGCCCAAGAAATGCAGTCCTTAGCGCTTGTGTGTGCATTGAGGGAATGATCTGTAGCTGCTAGATGGCCGTGGCTCGCATCACCTATGGCTCCATGTTGGGGTGGATGAACATCCATTTGCCACCTATTTTGAGGTCCACCAGGGGTACAAGGTTTTGACCCACAGCCAGATTGTTAGTCTAAAGCTGAGCCAGATGGAGCAATCAGTGTTTGAAGAGAGGGATTTGAGGGACATGTCATGTTCTCACTGACGAAGATGCCAAATGCCCACAGTCCTCGCGCTCGGCCTCTGTTGTTGGTGCTGAGGACAGAACCTGATTTTTGGGCTTCATGTCATTCAGGTGAGCAGCAATTGGCTCCAAGTTCTACCCATCTAGTAACATACATATTCAGAAACTGTCGGGTACACAGATGACTATGCATATTCCGCATTTGCGGCTGTGTATGCAAATAGTATGGTTCTATAAGGTATGACATCATACGATACAATATGATGCGGCAAAGGGACACAGCCCGCTACGATGCAATGATCTGATACAATATGACATGATGCTGTGATGCACATATGCATGCCGCGCGCATGCGCGTGTGTGTGTGTGTGTAGTCATGGATACGTACACAGCACATATATATATATATATATATGTATATATATATATATATCTACATACCCATCACGAAAGCACTAGTTGGAGTTGTTTTACCCAAGCTTTGCATTGCAATCAGTGTCGGGGGGCCAACATGGCTCCATCACAAGCCCATCACACCTGCACTTCTTTCGGAAAACAAACACATCGACGCTCCCCCGTTCCCTGTGCGTTTCGCACCGTGAGGCGCTGAGTCCATCCGAGACAAGCTGAGGGCCGTGCTGAGCAGAGGCTGGGGTGAAGGGCTATGTTTGTCATGGGGGCTGGGGGGGGGGGGGGGGGGGGAGGGGGGGGGGGAGCCCAAATAAGCCCTCATTGAGCCCTTAATAAGGCCTTTATTTGAGGCTCATTTGCCCTCCCCCTCCCCTCCCTCCCCCCCAGCCCCCATCAGTTTGGGGTCCTTTTGGGTGCTGCCCTGGCCTATCTGGCTGGCAAAGCAAAGGGCAGTGTCAGACGACCCAAGAAGGTTCCGGATCCCCAATGGATGGTCAAGGGGGCACCCAAAGGCAAACCATTTCTTTCATCTGACACAGACATTTTGCATGCTTTCTTCTGCCGGTTTCAATGGGAGTCTACCACTGCTGCCCCTTTTTTTCCGGACGTATCCTCAAACTGGGGGGTTCGGGTGGTCAGCGAGCTGCGTCGTTCGTCCCTCGCAAGGCTGGGACTTTGTGGTCACGCACAACGAGCACGGGGAGCCAGGCGCTTAAAGCCCCGACTTCTCGCGCGCGGTCGAGCTGTTCTTGTTGCTAACCCCAGGAACAGTTCGAGAACCACCCGGACCTTTGGAATAGATGGCCATGCATGAGAGCAGGTGATGAAATATGAAGGAGCCAAAGGGCGGCCACTTTCTTGGGCCCCTTCTCATCTTTGATGCGGGCCGCAAAAAGTCGGAGCCTGGGCCTCTAACCCACATTGTGATGGAGACTTGAGAGCATGTTCCCCTCTTGAACGGCCTGCGAGTTTCCCCCTGAGGTGGCGGACACGAGCTTGGTACCCTCCCAGCGTGACGGTTATGGCTGCTCAAAAACCCGGAAGTCCAACATGGCTTGCCCGATCGGCAAGTGGAATCATGGTTGCCAAGACCTGCGGTTTGCAGCTGGTTAATTTTGAGCACCCATATTGGGCCTTTCCTTCTTCGGAGTGCTGCAACTCGTTTTGAGAGCCCCAAAGGTCTGACTCGGGCATGGCCATCTAGGCATAGACGTAATGCAGGCGATGTTGGTTGACATGGTTTCCTCTTTCTGATGTTGTTCTGTCTTTTCATTCTTTTCCTTGTGGGGGGAAGGTATCCATCATGAAGGTGACTTTGGTCGGCAGCTTTGAGGGTCGCCGGAAAAGTTCGGCAATACCCCAAGCACAGCGTCTGACGCCAGGGCCCGATGTTTCCGCAAGCTTCTTTCTTAGGGTTGATTGTTTTGGGGGAAGACATGGGAGAAGCTGCATCCATGTGTTGATGTGAGGCCGTGTTTGACATCGCCCTTTTCACCAATGGGGTGGTGTTCGGGCATGTGTCAAAAGTAGGGAGCCCCAAAATAGTTAGCTTCTTTGGGCTTCTCTTGCATGAGCCAATCAAAAAGGGTTTGCCCCGAAATGGATGTTGTGTGACAAAAGTTCGGATGTTTAAAAAGGGGAAACGGACAGCAACGTATGGAGGGCTCCCTTAGAGTTGCGTAGCCTGGTTTGGTGGTTCCAAGGGCTCAAGACTTGTCCCCGTGCTTTCGGGGTCCCGCACCCATCTCCATGAATTATTGGTGGATATAGCCAAGCAAATCCATACCTGAAGGTGGCCGCCTTTTTTGGAGGGTACCCTTTGCGAGGAATGTTGAAAAGGAAACCGTAGGAAAGCATGGGATTTCATAGGAATAGGACACCAACGCCTGTTTCTTTTCTTTTTTAAAGGGGGGGGGTTGGTTGCTCGGGAAGCCGAGGTACCACCATGCCCAGCACATCGGCCCGGGGCCTCTGGGGTTTCCTTTGGGCTGTGGAAGGCTTGCCCGGATCCCATGACGAGTGGCAACGCGGTATTGACCGCTGTTCTTTCGCCAGGTGCAACATTTCTTACAAGGTCTGAAGATTTGGGGAAGCTTTTTCTTTGGACACCAGCGAGGAAACTGAACAAGCGCCGCTTCAGGCTGAGCAAACCTTGAGGAAACAGCTCCCTGGCCCTGGCGTAAGTTCTTGGCCGTGCATCAAGGTGATTGCAGTTAGGAGCAGGCGCCAAGCTCATCCAGAGCTAAACCAGTGGAAGCTTTGCTGCGCATGGAGCAAGTTAGGAGACGCTCCTCCCTTCAGTTTGGATGTTATGCCAACGAGCTGCGTTTTTCGCTTTCTCTACACGGGATGCCAGAAACGCAGAAGCGCCAGCTCTTGGTTCAAACTCCCACTCAAGAGAAATCCGGACAAGCCCCCATTCGGTTTAAAAGCAGCTAGTTCGAGACGAAGGAACGGGGCGCCTAGTGACCAGCTGAGGTAGTTGTCGTTGTTGTTATTTGTTTGTTTGTTTGGTTGGTTGGTTGGTTGGTTCGTTGGTTGTTTGGTTGGTTGTTTGTTTGTTTGGTTGGTCGGTTGGTTGTTTGTTTGTCTGTCTGTCTGTCTGTTTTTTGTTTGTTTGTTTGTGTGTGTGTGTGTGTGTGTGTTGGAAATTCCTTTTGGGGATGTTAAAACGACACCAGCTCGAACGCGACCATGTTGTTGTTAACCTTTCTAAAGCGGCATCCATACCAAGGGTGCCGCAGTCTTCAGTGGAAGCTGGTTCATTGAAGGTGGCTCAGGGCCACTGATCTTCGGACATGTGTCTTTTTGTGAGGGGGTTTGACTGGTCACGTTCAAGTGAAACCAAAGGAAAACCCATTGATTCTGATCTTACTTGGTACTGTGGATGCACGAAATCCATTTCGCACCACTTTGAAGCCATGGTTGAAACCAGAACGTTTGTTGGTATTTGCAGGGGAATCCAATCCTTCCAGGATTTCTTGAGCGACATGGATTTCGCAACCATCCACAGTAGGTGTCGCGAGCAGCCAAGATCCAAAACCCGGCGTCCCAAGTTCGCGACGACGCTTCTCCGGGGCCAAAAACAAAAGCGGCGCGAGGTCTTCACCGGATACTCAAGGCCCGCGCGCTGAGTGGGGGCCGTTGGGGCAGTCGAAAGGCTTCGAGTCGCCCGATTCAGCCGTGGGGTGAGGTAGGAATCCCATGGTTTGGCTCGGGGGGGGTGGGGTGCTTGGTGGGTTGGGAACCCACTGAAAGGAGACGTTTTTTAGTCATGGCTTTTGTGGGTTATAACCATGGTTACTAAGTTTGCCTCAGTGGTTCAAAGCGAAACGACCGGATCCGACCTTTTGGGGTTCCCTTTTGGGGTTCCCATTTTTGGTAGAGGTCCCAAAAGGCGAGCACCTTCTATTTCCAGGTCCTTTTGAGGAAAGTGAGTTACCCTCTGTGCAGTTTGAATGCTGCTTGGGCCAACGGACAGCGAGGAGTTGGTTTGGTGGATGTCGGGGGAGATAGGCAACCCCCTGACAGTGAGTGTGGCGAGCTGGTGTTCTGTGAGGTTTATAGGGGTAGGGCTCACAAGGGGGAAGCGCAGATGCAAGGCTCGTCCAGTCCTTGGCTTGCAAGCGGTTTGCCCGACGGCTAAGGGCGGAATTCGCTCCATGCGTCACGCCACGTTAACCTTAGGTGGTTGCGTCGTCTTTTCGGGGAAGGGCTTTTTGGGTTAGTTTTAGAAGGGAGCCGAAAGGACAGACAAAAATTGCGGGGGTACCTCTACTTTGTATGACACACCCAGATTTGTACACTGGTGGGATACTTTTAAGACATCGGACCCCCAAAATGGGTGGTTGCCCTTCTGGTTTCCCTTCAAAACCACACAGAGGGGTACCCTCCAAAAAAAAGACACCACACCCTTATGACCATGTGTGGACTGCGCATCCGAGGGTCGGGGGTTGGTCCAAACCCAAGTCAGAGTTTTGGAGCCGCCCAGATGTAGTTCCTTCGAGCCTTTGGGCGGACAGTTCTTGCAAGGTTGTCGGAATGATTTTTTCCCACTGCGCAAGCCGAGGAAGCCATCCCTTTCCCTTTGCAATTAAAAGAAGGACGAGCTGGAAGGGCCAGTGCTGTGGATGGATGAAATCCACTTCGCACCACTTTGCAACCATTGGAAGCCATTGTTTGTTGGTGCTTACAGTGGAATCATCATTCCAGGGTTTCTTAGTCCAACACCTGGAATGCAGAAATGAGAAGTGGACAATTCCCAATTTTACATCCCTGTGCCAAAACAGGGGTTGAGAATATGTCCTACAAGTAGCAGACCGTGGCTGAAGATTAGTGTTACGGCCGAACCAGATACTCCAACAAACACCAACAAAACTTGGCTAGGTTGCGATTGAGTTGCGGGGGAAATCCCAATCAGACATAGGTGCGTGTAGCCGCCCTTTTGTTTCATGGTGTTTGGGTAGACTCCTTCAACACCAGACTTGATTCTCGCTGAGCCTTTGCGGGGTGGTTTTCTTGGGGCCACGATCCATTTCCGGGCGTCCCCGTTGTCGGTGAGGCACCCTTTCCTTACGTCGATCCGAGCTCATGGCCGGCACTTGGCTATCAACTGAAACCCGGACCCGTCAAAAGTGGCCAAGAGACATGTATCCCCACTAATGTTGACTCAGGATTAATAAACCTGTCCCACTATTAGGGGGGTGTTCCCTCCAAAAGTGATGCATCCCCACTAAAAGGGGACACCCCCCTATTAGTCAACCAGGGGTTTATTAATCCGGGGTTAACATTAAATGATGTCCCACAAGTGTCCCCAATGAAAACTCACACCAACAGCAACCGGGTTCCTTCAAAGCGACAGCCTCAACTATTTATCCTTCAACTGAGTGTAACGGTAACGACAAAATGTGTCGAAGTTTAATCAAAGGTTATATCAACAGTTGAATTTTAACCAATGAGTGAAACTTAACCAATGAGTGAAATTCAACCACTGAGTGACATTTAGGCATGAGCGTATACGAACCAACCAGTTTCAAAGGAGACCCCCACGGCTCCGCGCCGGAGCCGCCAGCCGCCAGGCGCTTGCGGGGGCTGAAGGCTTCGGGCAGATGTTGGCCAGGGCCCCGAGGGGATCGGGGGTTTTGGTTTCTGAAGCCATGGCCAGCAGAAATGGAAACGGGCGGATCCTTCTTCTAAGGGACCCCAGCCAAAATGACTTCGGTTTTCCTGCTGGTTTCCTTGGAAGCCGTGGGAAAAAGGGATTCTGTCTTTGGGGAACCCCCTTTGGCTTCTGCAAGTTTTGCAGAAGCCAAAGGAAGCCCCACCCATTTTCCCCGGCCTAAACAACTCCCACCGTGACACACCCAAATTACTTGGTGCCGCCCCGAGGCCCCGAATTCAGCTTGAATCATTTTTCTCGGTGCAGATATCTGCTCTTGTGATCCCTAAGGGTTTTGGTAGAATACCAGGTTTGATTCTGTCTCAAAGCGTCAGAAGGCCAAGTTGCGCCCAAGATGACTTACTCTTGCCAGCAACCTTTCTTTGCCAGTTCCTTGGCTGAGAGTCTGAGCTTTGTGCCAGGTGACGGGCAAACTTGGGGGATGCAGACACCGGGAAAAAAAACCGAAAAAAAACAATTTCCGCTTTTGCTTGCAGGGCTTGGCGGTTATGTAAAAACCTGGGGTCATTCCCGGAGGAGTGCGCACCTTTTGTTTTCCTCACTCGGCGCAGGACTTTCTGCCAAGTGTCCATGCTTTTTGCCGGGATTCCTTTGCCTTTGCGGAGTTTCCCTGAGTGCGGACGCTGGAATCTATGAGTTACACAATGGTTGGTGGATAATCCAACCATGCATTTCTGACCATGGGGTTCATTTCTGCTTCCACATAGCCAAGTGTCCAGCGTTGGGGTGACCTCACCTTGGCAGCCTCCGCCAGTTCAGTGACACCCATTGTCATTTTCTCGTTCTGTTCGGTAGGCTCTTGACTGAAAATGGCTCTCTGGTTCCAAAGGGGTCACGGGGTGACTTTGAGTCTATTGACAAATACGGGTCATATGTTGAGTCGATCGACTTTTTTTGTGGCTCCATGGCATATGGAATGTGGATCCGACCAGAAAATGGGGTGGGACTCGCAGGTGTTCAATCCTCTGCCCGAGCTGAATGCCACGATCAGCCTGGGCAAGCAGCGGATGCTTCAGGCGATCGCTTGCCGAGCTCTGGGGTGGTGTGCTTTGTTTCGGTTTTTCCATTTTTTCTTGGCTCGGCAGCTTGCCCTCAGCGCGACTTTGCTTGTTCTTTGCTCTTCCTCCGACCTTTTTCGGCCAACTTTGCCCTTGCTCAACTCGAGGGCGATTTTCGCCCTTACTGGAGGTCAGATTTGGCGAACACGTCGCCCACTTTGCGCCGGTAAGAGTTGGTATGCACGCCGGAAATATTGCGAGTGAGCCAACCTCCAACCCTTGGCCAAACTGCGGCAACTCACCGGGCCGGCATGTTCCCTTGCAATATTTCGCTGGCACCCGTGCAGGCGTTTGTACGCAGTTGGACAGTCCCGCGGGTGGTGTGTTTGCTTTACGGAATTCTTCAAGCCATCGCGGCAGCCTAAATGAACGCCTGACTGGTCATCCATTCTCCAGTCAGTGAGGCTTTTTTCGACTTTCAAAGCAGCATGCAGAGGCCATGTTGAACAGTGCCCCATTTCGAAGGGTGTTGTTTGGTGTGTTTGGGGGGCCTTGAAGTCCCTCCCTGCAGACTGCGGCTTCTCTGGCACAACCCTTGTTGTTCTCTCGGTTTTTCGGCAGAACATGGGGGAGCACAAGGGCACAACCCGAATCTCCAACAAAGAGCCCCCTTTTGGTTTTTCGGCAGAACACGGGGGAGCAACTCGAATCTCCAAAGAGCCAGCCCTTACGCCCTTTGGTACCTCAGACCTACCTCCACCTGGCCGAGAGCAACGCGCGGCAGCGAGTCTTTGCGAGCCTCTCGGGGCCCGGGGGCTTGGCGGCGGCCCGGGGGCGGCCTGGCCGACCGCTGGGTTTGGGGCGTGTCGAAGTCTTTGGTGGAAACATTCGTGGGGTTGTTCTAAAGGAAACTGGTGGCTCAAAATATGGCAGCCATTTTTGGCCCCTTAAATGGAAACAAAGACCAGTTTTGCTGCGTAAGCCTAGCTCTTTAATTCAAAGGGCCACCTGGGATTTTGAAGCTGCCATTTTCAGAACCAGTTGAAAGGGAGCCAAGCATTTATTTGCCGGGACCCCTTGCGGGACTGTTAACTCAGAACTCCCTGTTGGAAAAACCCGCTCCGGACATTGCGCCTCCTTCCCAAGACCAAACAGCCCAGGATCCACGGGTCATGTTTGTGGGTCTATGATCAGAACCCAGTTTTTCCAATGAACCCAGTTGAAACTCAGGTGAAACACAGGTGAAACAAATCAGCTGAGGTTTTTTGTCACTCCGTCTTTCAAAAGGCTGCGTGAGGCGCTAGAATATGTTTCAGATCGACGGATGCGCGCAAATTCGAATCTGGGCAACTCCCATTCCGCTGGGCGCAGGTTTACGTTTTTGGGAACTTGTGAACTGGCTGGTGTGTTCACCCGGAAACCTCCAGGAAAATACCGAAGAGCCAAGAGGGACCAGTTGCCTATTGCTGTGCAGAGAAAGCCTCCAGAAACCCCAGGAAAACGGCGAGGTGTTGAGAAGAATGGATGAGAAGACTGGAAAAGGAATCCTCCCCTTACATACCCAAATCCACCTAAGGAAATACAAAGATGGCCGCACCTGTTTCCGGTTGGGACCATTCCTTTACAGAACCCTAGAACCCAAGAAACCCTAGGATGATGATTCCCCTGCACATACCAAGAAACCATGGTTTCAACCATGGCTTCATCCATGGTTTGAAAGTGGTGCGAAATGGAGTTCAAAACCATCCACAGTATGGCAACTCGACGCGGCGCTGCTCACTTGAATTCGAGAGGTACAGCGAGCACCTAGTGCCTTTGGAGCACTTCCAGCGGCCGCCAGCCCTAGGCAGGGCGGCGGGTCTGGCCGGGGTCGGAGGAGGCTCCACGTTGGGAGGGCTCCGCCATTATGGTGGGGACCCTCATGATGATAGGTGTCCTTTTTGGTTGTTTTGGTAGAAACAATAGATGGCGATTCCTGGTTTACCTGGTGGTTTAATCATCTACCAGGGCCATCTATGTCCCCTAAAAGGACGCCTATGCTCATGACGATACTGCCCCACGGGTCCCAAAGGCCACAAAGCGAGATCTTTTGGAAGCAAAGGTTGTCGGCCTTTGGCGCAAGTGGGGGGGGGTAGAAGAGCAAGCCAGCCTTAGGCGAACACTGTTTTCTGGATTCTCAAGGGTTCTTTGTTCATTTTGGGAATCCTATCTCGGGAATCGAGTATCCAGTTTGGGGATACTGTCTTGGGAACTTGAGCCCGGTTTGGGCGTTCCCCAATTTTTGGCTTGCATGAAGTCAATGGTTCCACACACCTTTGGTGACATGACATGCGACACAGCTGGTTGCGGTTCACCCATGATGAAGATTCTTTGAGAGCCGTTTGTCCAGGTTGGTGAATTGTGATACTGCGGATGGACGAAATCCTGCACCACCCAAGAAACCCTATGATTTCCCTGTAAATACCAACAAATAATGGTTTCCCATGGTTTCAAAGTGGTGCAGGATTTCGTCCATCCACAGTAGTTTGATCAGATGCCTCGAGGTCCTTTCGTTTTCTTTGCGCTGGCTAAATGGGATATGCCATGACCTCTGAGGCGCTTCCTTTTTTGGCTCTGTGCTTGTCGTCCACGAAAAAGTCTCCTTTGCACAGTTGATCAGCACTTCATTTGCGACAAGAGGATCCCTGCTTTAAGCCAGGTTTCGACTCATCTCAGCCGTTTACGTCGTTATGTGTCTTGTCCCTGACATTGTCGATGACTTCCTGATTGTGGCCAAAGGAGGCTGGGCCTGATCGATTTCTCGCCAACTAGGACGAGCTCGTACAAACTTTTGTGGGTCCTCAAAATCATCGCCCCCTCCATGTGGCTGTGGCTCAAAAAATCGGCACCAAAATGGAACCCTGGTAAGTGGAAACATGGACCAAAACCCGCGGTTTGCCCCTGCTGTTTAATTTTGAGCCCCCTCCATGTGGTCGGAGTCCTGTTCGTTTCACGACAAGGGGTTTCCTACGGTGGATGCCCCAACCATGGCGGATAGGGAACCAGGGACACCCTAATTCGCATGGTCTGCGGTAGATTTGCTTGCCAGGTGTACGGCATGCATATGGGTATGAATTTAAGTAAGGGACCCTTTGGTGGACATCATTTAGGTGGGGATTCATGTCCACCAATCACTTTTCAGGTGGTTCCCTGTTACAATTCATGGCCGACCCGCTGCTCGGGTCAGCTCGAGAGGCGTCTACTTCTGGCAGGGCATCGGCGAAGACCTCGGCAACCACTTCGCGTGCGCCTGCTTTCCACCGGGGATCGGGGCTTCGAAGGGGGGTAGCTGGCGAGGTGGGGGGGGGTAACAGGGTAAAACGAGCTCCAGCAGGAAGACCCGTTTGGAACTGCGCCCCTCACAAGAATCCGATCTTGAGTTCATACAACCCATGCCCAGATGCAGGCTCAGCAGACTGACGCAGGGAAAGAGGGAGTGATCCCCCATGAACCATCCCCAACTGATTTCCTTTAAGGAAATCTTCAGATTCATTCCCGAGACCCCTGGCTTATTCCCTACTGAGCACCAGCAAGTATTGGGCGAGTTGCTTCCCCAGAGAACATGATTTTCACGGCTTGCAACTGACCTTGAGGAGCATCCAGCAGCTTGCTGAGAGAGAAGGTCTCTTCTTTGCGCCTGTTTCTTCATGGTGATTCTTGTGGGGGCTACCGGCCACTTGGTTCATGTTGTTTTGGATTCTTTTCTCAGTTATTCAGTGGCACCCTTTTTCCTTTTTTTGGTGGCTGCCCCACTAAAAATGGTCTTCCCAAGAAAGGGTTCCCTTTTTTTCAAGGGTCACTGAACAACCGAGTTTTGGTTTCATCCCCCTCCCTCTTGTGAGCAAAACACCTGCCAGGTACGACTGGACACGGCCGCTCAAGGCCTGGGGCGAGCCGCAGGGAGCCCCTGAAAGTTGGCCTTGCGCTTGTCCGAGGAGAGGCGTCTGGGCGTTTCTTAAAAATAGGGGAAGCCCTCCCCCACAAAGAAAGAAGGAAGGAAGGAAGGAAGGAAGGAAGGAAGGAAGGAAGCAAGGAAGGAAGGAAGGAAGGAAAGAAAGAAAGAAAGAAAGAAAGAAAGAAAGAGAGAGAGAGAGAGAGAGAGAAAGAAAGAAGGAAGGAAAGAAAGAAAGACAGAAAGAAAGAAAGAAAGAAAGAAAGAGAGAGAGAGAGAGAGAGAGAGAAAGAAAGAAGGAAAGAAAGAAAGAAAGAAAGGGAGAGAGAGAGAGAAAAAGAAGGAAAGAAAGAAAGAAAGGAAGGAAGGAAGGAAGAAAGAAAGAAAGAAAGAAAGAAAGAAAAAGAAAGAAAGAAAGAAAGAAAGAAAGAAAGAAAGAGAGAGAGAGAGAGAAATAAAGAAAGAAAGAAAGAAAGAAAGAAAGAAGGAAGGAAGGAAGGAAGGAAAGAAAGAAAGAAAGAAAGAAAGAAAGAAAGAAAGAAAGAAAGAAAGAAAGAAAGAAAGAAAGAAAGAAAGAAGTAAAGAAGTAAAGAAGTAAAGAAAGAAAGAAAGAAAGAAAGAAAGAAAGAAAGAAAGAAAGAAAGAAAGAAAGAAAGAAAGAAAGAAAGAAAGAAATAACGAAAGAAAGAAAGAAAGAAAGACTGAAAGAAAGAAAGAAAGAAAGAAAGAAAGAAAGAAGAAGAAGAAGCAGAAGAAGCAGAAGAAGAAGAAGCAGGATTTTCCTCAAACCAACTCAAAAATTGGTTATCCCAACAATGGCTAGCCACCCCTCAACAACAACACAGCCCCTATTTCTTACTTCCACTTCAGCCAAGCCCCAAACCGGCACCCTCCGAAAATGAGAATCCCATATGAGGGACCGACGACGGGGTTTGAGGCTCGGTGCCACCTGTTTTTTCGGTTGACTTTCTTGGGAATCCAAGGCTCGGTGCAACTCTCTTTTTTTGGGTTGGTTAGGGAAAGCTAAGGAAACCACAATTGGTCAGACTCGTTGAACAGTTTCGACCAAGTTATGAACGCTTGCATGGACAATCATGTGTGAAGCATCCGAGATGACCCAATTTGAACCCATTGAACGGATCCATGAAGATCTTCCGGCCCCGACCCGCCAGAAAGGTTCTCAGAACTCTAAGAACCCTTTCCTGGGTAGAGGGCCCTTGCTGGCCTTTGGTCAAGACCAGATCCGGCCCCCCACAAGGAGCTTGGTAAGGGCTGTTCTAAGAGCCGTCGTTGGGTGTAAACTGGATTGTTTTGACCGGAGTGGGGAGAACTTTGTACCTAGCTGAACACAAAGGAGCGTCCGCCACACCACCCATGTTCACTGCGGGCGAGGTTCACTGCGAAGCAATGCGGCCCTGCAGTGCAGGCGAGAAGCCGTTTGAACAGAAATCGGGCCGAGGGTGCCATGACCACCCTTTGACGGGGATTTTAGGCATGGTCATCAGAGGCTTATTGGAGATGTCGACAACAATTGAGTATGTCTCAAAATAGGGGTACTCCAACATGGGTCATTTTTTCTTCGGTTTCTCTTTAGACCAACCCCCAAAAGGGTACCCAACAAATTTCGAGGGTTCCTACTATGGCCATGACTCATGCGAGGAGTCTTGACAATGGCACGGCTGGGATCCACAAGGCGCCAGATCCACGTCGAGTGGGGCCTCGAAGACTCCTTTTGTGAAAACAAACATTTGGTTTATCTGTTTATGTGTCTCTGAACGACTGTTGTTGTGGTGGTGTTGGTTGGTTGGTTGGTCGGTCGGTCGGTCGGTCGGTCGGTCGGTCGGTCGGTGGGTGGGTTGGTTGGTTGGTGGTGGTGGCAGCGGCAGCTGCTGCTGCTGCTGCTGCTGGTGTAGGATTGCTGGGATGTTTTCCGCCTCGCGCAGCTTGGCAGCGTGGCCATGAGTCTAACTGTCTAACAGTGTTTGTTGCGAACACCCTTCAAAATGGTTGGCGGACACGATTGCACCTGTACACCAAAGCGTCCCCAATCCACAATGACAGACCCGCTTGGGTGCGTACATAAGCATACTACAGTGCTAGCTCACTGTTGCTCAAAAGAAGCACGGCCCACCCAAAACACGCCATACGCATGTTAAGTTTGTAAATGCGAAAGCTCACTAATGATGGCTCATCACTGACTTGGATAGCAGAAATACTTGGGCCTGTCTCAAAATACGGGACCCCTCCATTACTGGTTGGTTTCCCTTCGATATGTATCCCTTGAACGCAGCCCAAAAAGGCTAGGCTCCAGAAAAGCGCGCCCCATGCCAGGAGTTCTTCATCAACACCTGGCGGAGGAGCTGTGAGGAGAAAACCACGACGCCCATTCGGTCTGGGTCCCGACTCGCTGAGACGCAACTGGCCCTAACCGGGAAGATATATGGGTCGGTCATTTTTGGAGGGTACCCCTTTTGGGTGGTTTTGAAGGGAAGCCAAAAGGATTTTTGGGGGGTCCCCAAAAAGAAAAGTGACATACCCATATCATCTATGTAAGTTTTCTGAAAATGTGATGTTCATCAATTTTTAACAAGGGCGCTGCCGCCAGCTGGGGGCTGCCACTTCTTTGCTCCCTTTTGAAGTGAACACGCCAAGTTTCTGGCCGCTGGAGATCAGGCCCCGCTATAGTACTCTCAGGACCCGTGACCCGTGCCAAGCACAGCATCAGGAAGCCGCCTGCAATTTTGTGTGGTCTGCTGCAGCTGGCTGGCTTGCTTGCAGCTGAAGAGACAGTCTCAAAGAGAGTCTGCTTAGATGTGGCTCGGCTGGGCTCGGTCCAATTTGAGACCATCCTAAAACCATGGCTCGTTGGTATTGACAGGGGAATCACCATTCCGGGTTTCTTAGGTGGTGCAGGATTTCGCAGTATGGCTGGTTTCCTTTAGGTTTCCTTCAGCTTTTGGCCCAAAAAGGGGTGGTCCACCAGTTTGAGAGATTCGAACAAAGCACATGGTCAATCAGTTAGGGGGGCTTGTTTAGCAATAAAAGTAACCTGAGGAAGGGGGCCTGTTTATCTTGGTTTCTGGGGGTTCTCGAAGTCACACAAAGGTGTTTCCCTTTCTCCTACCACTAACTTTCAAGTCCCGGGGCTAGTTTATTTACCCACCAATGGCAGTTTCTCCCTTCGCCAAAAAGTTGGTACCCGAGAAAACGCCCCACACCCCACTCACCAGACCACCCCACCCGACTCCACCCACCCCACTCCCAAACCCAACTTACCCACCCCCCACCCCCCCACCCCCCCACCCCCCCACCCCACCACCCCACCACCCCACCCCACCCCACCCCACGCCCGAGGTTCCCGGAGATCTGCCTGGCCCTCCAGCGGCACAGCGCCTCGCTGGGCGCTGAGCTCTGGCGGCGACTGCAGGCCATGGAGGCTCGCGGCATCTGGCGCTGGGGGGGAGGTGGATGCCCACGGGTTTGGCAGCTGAATAGCTCACTTCCCGAGTTTCCGGACTTCAGTCACTTTCTCACGGGTGGCAAACCGAAAGTTTGGATCTTCTTTTCTTTTGTTGCCTTTTCGCTCAGGAAGTGAGATAGGGGCTTCCCTATATGCAGAAAGGGTTCGCTCGAAACATGACGGCCGACATTGTTTGGAAGTTTTGCGGTAATTTACCAAAACCTGTAAATTTGGTCAACACATAAGGGGGGGTCCTGGACACTTGCTTGCAAAGGGCATCCACCGTATGGTGGACACATGTTGCAACCTTCGTTCTCGCACTGACAAACCTCGCACCCAGGATGACGTTTTGACAAGTGGGCGTAGTTGTGACGGCAGGCGATTGGGCCACAGATTTGGATTTTGTTGAAAACACGAAGCCGCGTGCATGATGGAACCTTCCCCTCCCATTACCACCTTCACTGCCTGGACAAGAGTTGTGCCTCTGGCCCTTCTTAGAACACAACCCTTTCCCCCCAGAATCCTGCAAGTTGTTGATGCTTCCTTTGCACGCCGAATGTCGACTCCAAGGCCTTTGATTTAAAAGCCGGTTGATAACCGACGATCCCACTCCTGCCACACAGACAGGAGTTGGTCGTTCGATCCGCGGGTGATCCACACAGCTTTGCAGAGCCAAGTAACAGAGGCATAAAACTGTTGTCCTCCTGAAGTATAGTTGTTATGTGTGTGTGTGTGTGAGCAAGGGAGTGCTGCGAGAAAAGAGCTCAAGAGTTTTGAAGGGAGTCGGGAAGATCCGGCGGTCAGGAAAATAGTTGCCATTGTGCAAAGGATGGCGCAGGCATTACTGTTCGACTCATTGATGTTTGTATCCAGTAAACCTGCTGGTGGCCACTGTAAATGCTAGGTTGCCTAGCTGGCAGAGGGTTTGGCCGTGTACAGCGGGGCGCCCAACAAGGATTGGTGCCTTCCCACCCTGTCCAGTCATCTTCTTGGGATATGATGCCCGTGCAAATCAGGCGGAGCCACACTCCGGAGAGCCGCCTTTGATTCCTTTTGAATCTCCCTGGCCCAAAGAAACTCCGGCTGGACCAGAGTGGACAGGAGGGCTTGCTTTAGTTGCCTGTCGCCTTTCTCAAAGGGGCCTTTTGGTTGGTTTGAACCACGCTTGTAGGATCCCTACGTAGAGAACTGCCCCACATCCGCGCGACTGGCGACCAGGTCAGTTCCCTTTGGCTCGCAAGCTTCGCTCTGAAATGCCTCCCTGGACACCTCTGGTAGGTGTGTCTCTTTCTTCAGTGAATCATGGCCATTGCCCAGGAGGCTGTGAAGCCCTAGGCATTTTCCTTCGCGGTGGCACGCCTTTTTGCACTCAGCACTCAGCACCCCGTGTCTTGTGCTTGCTCTGGACATCGGTGTTCTCCGTTTGAAGTCGCCCGGCTCCCAACCTTTTTCTTTCGCAGGCTTGGGTGGAGCTTCAGGCGCGGGGCTTCGGGTGCGACGGTTGGGGCTGGAACTCTGGTGGATGGGTACGGGTGACTGAAGGATCCCTTGCTTACCTCTTAAAAACACAACTTTAACAACTTTTTGGGTAACATGGGCTATATGTCTGTAAAAGATTAACTTCCACAGGGCTTGGAGTTTTAAGGGGTAAGCTTGCTCAAACCGAGGCCCATGTTGCAGCCGCGTCACACTTTGTCCAGAGTTGGCCCAATCTTTGAGTCGCGACGTTTCAGCATCCTGGTTTGATACCTCGCCGGCGGAATCGCCCCTCGCCCCTCGGCGATTCCCACAGGAGCCCCCGCACTGTGACGGGTCGGTTTGACACATGGCCGGCGGGGAAACCCGCCGCAGATTCGGTTTCGAGTCCCTGAGTGCGGTTTTTGGGACGCTTCGCTTAGTTGGCGAAATGCTTAAACATGGGGTTCCCAATCTTTCCGGGGTGATGATTGCTTGCGCAGAGTTCCCGTTTTGCGCGGTGACATGGTCAGCAGAAGGATCCTCGTATTGGACCTCACTCTTTGCCTTGCTTGGATCTGGGTTTGTTGCTTTGTAAGCAGCTACTGGCAATTTGGACGCCACCCAAATGCGGTTTGGCTGACCTGAAAGCAATTGCTCAGACCTGACTCAGCATTTTTTGATCTATGAGGGACACTGGGGCGCACTCGCAACGCCAGGCTTTGACACCCCCTCAAACGCTGAAGCTGATGTGCGTCTTTTGCACTGGCACAGAGTTGCCAAGCAACCCGAGTTGATGAACCAGTTTCGAGTAGTTCCAACCATGCTCCACTGTGGAGAAAAGGCAAACAAAAAAACGATTCAGTCCATGCTCGGCTGGATCCTGGAAAAAACAACAACAACACAATTCGTCCACTTGTGGGATGAAAAAAGAAGAAGAGCATCAATTCATCCACTTGTGGGATGTTTTTTTTTTTGCATGAGCGGCGCGTTTCTCTTCTTGCGCGCCTGGCCTCGGATGGCATCAACCTGGCCCTGCGAAGCGGCATCCGTGGCAAGTGAGGCGTCGACGCCACGGGGCCCTGCCGGGCTCAGGCGGGGGACGAAGGACGCATGCGCCTTGGGGTTGGGGCGTTTTCGAGCTTGGAGAGCGGAGATCCTCGTTGTTTTTTTTTTTTGGGGGGGGGTGAAACGGAAGCTACCGCTAGACACTAAAAGGCTAAAAGGCTAAAAAGGCTAAGGAGCCGGATGGCGGGGAGCCACCAGGTATAGCGACGGAATATCGGGCATGCAGCCTTGCATGCAGGGCGAGGCTGTTCCCTGGACAAAAACTTAGAGCCTGTGATCACTGAATTTATGCCCTGCTAGGCTGATAAGGCCACCACTGCGTCGACTTCCCCAGTAGTTAAATGGCCTGGAGATGAGTTGGTCAAACCTCAAGAGATTGGGACAGCCAGGTGCGACCCCCTTGCCGATCCAAGTTGCAAGGTGCTTCTTATCAATTGGCGAGCCCATCTCTTCCTGCAAGGAACGGTCAGGAGGGACAAGACCTGTGCCCCTGAAGGTTTGCAGAGCCCTTTGAGAGGGTTTCCTCCATTTCCCTTTTTCGAACCTCCAAACATGGCAGTTTCCATGGAGACCGCAAGTAAGTTGGATCTTTGAACGTGGAAATCCAGTGATCCAGGTTCCCCATAGCCTCCCCCTGAAGATTCCATGACCAATGGAAGCGCTGAACCCTCATGGCGCGTGGCTCCAGACGACTGCCGCCTGCCATGAATTCTAGAAACCGTTTTGGATGCGCCTTTTGTGGATTTCACCTATTCTTCCCCCTGTTGGTCCTTTTTTAGTAATCTTTTAGTACTCTTTAACCCTCAGGGGTGGAACCACAGATTCGCCACATCCAAACCGTTTTCTAGATGAATTGCCAGGTGCCAGGCAGCGCTTCCCTCGGCGGAGGTCAAGGGCTCGGTGACCGCCTGGGACGTGGAGCTCGAGGCGCCCCGGTTTTTGCGAATTTCACGACGAGTCGAGGTTCAAAGGTGGCCACCCGGCGTCTGATTTTTTTGGGGGTGCTGGGGGTTGGCTGAAAGGGACTTTTTTTGGGGGTTGGTTTGGGTGGGTTGATTGTTGGGTTGGTACGCTTTTGGGAGTTGGTTTGCAGCGATACCAAAGCCTCTTTTTTTGGGTTGGGTCAAAGGGAAGCCAAAGGGAAAACCGCAATATTGGGGGGGGGGGGGGAGGGTCGCGCAGCGCATGTATTCCTCAAAGAATTAATTAGTTCCAGCACAGCATTGTTTCATCAAATCTCTTTGATCACTACTGCTACTACTAAAGCTGCTACTGCTGTTGCTACTGCGACTGCTAGAAGTAGAGGTAGTAGTAGCAGGAGCAGTAGCAGCAGTAGTAGTAGTAGAAGAAGAAGAAAAAGTAGAAGAAGGAGTACAAGTAGAAGTGGAAGTAAGTAGAAGTAGAAGTAGTCATCAAATTCAGCACAAGAAGTATGAGGATTTAGTCGCTATCCATTCATGAGGCCAGCCTTGGTCCTGTCATGCATGTCTGTATGCCTTGCGAAGGGGTAGCCCCCCTCGTCCATTTCAACGATGTACAAGTCCTTCGCAGTGAAGCAGAAGGCCTTCTGCCAAGCTACGGACCATGGGCATCATCCCACATCTGCCACATCGCCACCAGCGGCCGGCAAACAACAATTGGTCAGGTGGCCACCAATTGTAAAAAAAGAGTGGCATGCACCTGTCTTCCGTCAAACAGGTTTGTTGCTCACAGTCCATTGGAGCAACTCCCACCAGTTTATTGGGCAATCCTTGCTAGCCTTGCTTGCAAACCTGTATCTTCAAGTCTCTCCAAATGTTGAAACCTCCTCACCATGGCAATTGCCTCCCTACCTGACATGCGGACGCGCACGGAGGCGAGCCGGGAGATGCACCTGGAGATGTTGGTGCTGCGGCCCATCATTGTGGGCTGGAAGGAGGCAGTTTCTGGGAAGTTTTCGCGGGACCCGGCATTGCGGGGAGCGGCATCGGTGCCCAATTTGGGTTGTCTGAAAAGGAAAGCAAAGGGCTTGTTTCGTGGGTGGCCCTTCCGATTTCGAACCGTGGCCATCGGTTACTTCGCTTCCTTTTCTCGTGCGATGGAGTAAACAACCCGATTGGTGATACTCTCCCACTAACATAGATCCTGATTGGAGGTGCCTCGGGAACGGTTTCATGATGGGTTTTATTGACTTGCTTTGTCCGTTTGAATGGGGGTTGTTCAAAAGCACACATGTTGTTCTAATTCCCAAGAACTAGGGGTTGAGAAGCAAGCAGAACTGCAACCGAGGCTTTGTTTGAGCATGATTTCGGCATGCCCGAAATTTGGGCTGTCCCCAAAGTTGGGGGCAGCTCCCTTTCGAATGGGCCTTTCGAATGGCTCGAGACCCAAAAAAAACCCGGAGGGTTTTGGCCGGTTCTTTTTTTCGGGCGGCCCGTGGCTGAACGTGGCTCGCTCGAGCCGAAACTGGGAGTTCTGGCCGCTGGTTCTCCGACTCAGGGCTACAAGGGTCGCACCTACAAGATCCAGGGCCCGGGGGCCCTTTGGGGGCCAGGGGGCCAGGGGGCCCTTTGGGCCAGGGTCGGGGTCACAGGGCGGCGCCTCCGGGGGGGGGAGGGGGGGACCATGTGGCGAGCCAGAGTGGTGTTGGGCACCTCCGAAAATGAGTTGGCCAGGCAGGTGTTGAAGCAGGCCTGAACCATGTTGAACCGCTATTCTATTTTTTTCCAACCTCCTTTTGGATCTTTTGCTTGGCCCGAAAGGGGGGTTAGGTCTGGTTTCTGAGAATTCGCTCCACTTTACATGGGCTTGACGCCATTTTGAGTGCACCCAACCCCCAGCACATGAGAGGGTGTTTCTCTCGCTGCCATGCACAACAAGCACAAAAGGGGTACCTTCAACAAAGGCATATCCCCCTGGTTTAATAATCAAACCTTCGCCCTTTTAGTTATATGCCTCCCCACACTTTGTCCGGAACAGATGTATATAATCGCAGCCCCAGTTGTTCCGGGGAACTTAACAATTCCATTTTTTGTTGGTGCCCCACCAAAAATTGTCAACCCCAAAAAGTTTTCCCTTTTTCTACGAGGCCCAATGGTTGCAACTTGTTGCCATTCCCGGCATGAGGGGCTGGTTCCCACTTCCGTGATCGGGAATCGAAACCCCCACAGTGAAGAATTTCCTCCAGTATCACAGACGTGCAACGTCAATGCCCCCAACCTTGCATTGAAGGGCAATCTGCATGACGTTTCTGAAGAATTTCCTCGGTATCACAGACGTGCAAAATCTACATGAGGACGTTTAGGACGGTTCGACCTGTGGTTGAACGTTGAACCACCCTGGTCGAACGTTTCAGATTCGGGGTAACCTTGCTGGCCCCCCAACAGGAGAGACACGGACTCCGAATGGATCAAGCCTCACAACCCGAATGGGTCGACCCCAGCCCCCCGTGTTTTAGCATGTGGGTATGTGTCAAAACACGGACCCCTCCCCCAGCCAAAAAAGGAGAGCATCAAAAACAAGAGCACGGAAAAAAAAAAAACAAAAAAAAACAAGAAGACAAACCAGATGGCTTCTCCTTGGCTTCCCTTCCCCCGCCGGCCCCAAACTGGTCACCTCAAACAAACAATTCGCCGCCCCAAACCTGCAGCCAGCCTCCCAGGTAGCTCGGGCCCGCGCCGGGTGAAGCCCGGCTTCTCGCAGGTGCGAGAAGTTGACCATGTCCCACTGGCCCAGTGGCGCCAAGTCTTCCTTTCTTTTTTTTGGGGGGGAAAGGGTTCCAATGCATTGAAACTCAGCCAACCAAAAAAGTTGATGCTCCCTTTTGTCCCATGGCCACTGGGTAATTATCTGAGATATGGGCCTGTTGCCCTTTCCTGGACCACGAAATGACACCAGGGGAAGCCACTGTTCGTTGGTATTTACAGGGGAATCGAATCATTTTAGGGTTTCTGAGGTGGTGCTGGATTCGTCCCTCCACAGTATGGGATTGTTGAAGTTGCCCTTTTTGTCTTCCAGATACCCTCCTATGGTCTGTTTGTGGGAGGAAGGGTACCAGGTTTCAATGATGACCCACATGGGTCTGGAAACCAAGAGGAAAACCCACCCGTTTTGGGGGGTCCACTACACAAAGACACACCCGTATTTTTTGGTTTTCTGTGAAGGAAGCGAAAAGGGGACGGGTAAGTTTCTCGAAGCAAGTCTGGACGCATCACTGTGCTTTTTGCAGGGACCAAGTGAATCCATAAGTGAGTAATGGGAATCAGCTTTGAATAACAGGAAGGAGGATTTGCTGTAACCATGGTTTCAGTGTAAAAGGGGTTGGTTGACAGACATAGCTAGCGTGACGTTGTATTTGTCATGATCACCATGCGTGCAGGGGAGACCAAGGGAATCACATGAAGCAAAGGTACTGAATCTTCTCAGTGTCATTCAGCAAGCAATTGATGATGTGTCTGCAACTGCTGCGAAGGCGCACTTGATCATTACCAATCCACCGAATCTGTTGATCAGCTGCTTTCATTTGTCTCAAAGCGCCACTGGATTTCCATTCGCCCATCACGTTGCAAATGGTGAATGGTCCCCTGGGCACGTTTCAATTCGTAGGCAGAAGGAGCACATATTGAATCTCACAGATATTTATGGATGCTTTGCGTACTTCTCCCATGCAGCTTTTGTTTTTACTCACAGCATACTTTCGGGCGAAACAAGGAATCATGTCATGGATATCAAAGGCCCCGGACCGTGAACTGCCCCACAACGAGCTGAACAACAAAATCTGATCCGACCTCGAGCCTTAAAAAGCTGCGCTCAAGTGGCGGTTTGGGGTACCCTGTGTCCCTTTTAGCAGGTACCACAGAGGCCCAAAAATCCGAAGCGACCAGAGGAAGCGCAATTGGTTTCTTGGGGATCAACAAAATCAACCGTAGGTGAACACAGAACAACCTGCGAGTTTCAAGGGCGTTCGGCGGGTTAAACCCCCCCAAATTGCCGTGTTTTTTTGGTTTCCCCTCTAGCCTCCAAAAAGGGCTCCCTTGTTCCACCGAACGGGTCATCGGTTGCCGCTGAAGACCTGACATTTTCTTTGGTGCATTTTGCTTGGCTGTTAGGACTCTAACTTTTTGCCAACTAATGGGTTTTCCACTAAACCACTAAAAGTTAAACTTTTAGCAGGGGAGCAGAAAGCAACCGAGTTTTTTCAAGGCATTCTCACCCCTAGCCCTTATGGAGTTGTTTCTTTTTGCTTGCCCCACTCCCTAAGTTGGACTTGGGTTGAAGACCATTCTGATGGTAAACCACAATGCTCTACGTTTTAGTTTTTTGTTCAAGACCATCTTGGGCAAACCACAGGTTCCGGCTTTGTGTTGGGGAAAATCCCCTCGATCGGCTTTGTGATGGGTAAACCGCAGGGCTTTCTGCTCTATATGGCCATGGGTCAAAATCCAAATCGTACCCCTGAACATCCCAATCCAACCACTAAAATGGGCTCTAAAATGGGTGGTGAAGTCACCTACCAACCAAAATGGAATATCCCAAAACGGTTTTGGTCATAACCTATTCCTCCATTTTGGGGCGGATGAACACCCATGTGCCACCCACCAGGGGTACCAAAACGGTTTTGACCAACCACAGCCAGATGTTGACCATGGCCCGAGATAAAGTGAGCCGAGCAGCGATAGGAACCTCGGTGTGTCTGGAGGTGTCCTGGCAGCCAGCGGCGCCCATCCCAGTGCAGCCGTACGATGAGGTGAGGTGGCTGTGCGGCGAGTTTTTTTTTTCATGTTTAAATTTCATGTTTTGTTTTTGAAAAAAAAACAATTATTGTTTTGCTGTAAAGTTTTTTGTGTTATGTTTACTAGTTTTTTCTTCCGGGGTGTTCTTTTTTTGTGACGGGGGTGGGGTTGTACACCTTCCATGATTTGGGGGTTGGGGTAATAAGCCCGAACCAAGCCAAACTTCAGGCCGTGCAGTGCTGAAGAGGCCAATCTCAACGGTGACTTGGTGCTTAACAAGCCTTGGCAACAAGCCTTTTTCTTTTTTGAGCCAACAGCAAGCTTCAGAGTGAGAGGCTGGTATGCCGGTAGAAAGACCTTAAGTGGTGCTTATCGAGACCAACCCCAGTCATTCTCATGGTTATAACCTACTTACTAAGTTGGTTGGACATCCAAGTTTGATGAATTGAGTCAGCGTGACCTGGAGGCTTGTCCTTTTGCGACCCTATTCGGACAAGCCGAAATTCCGATGTTGGTTTTCTTGGCATGCCAGTTTTTACCCAAAGCCGGCATGACGACGATTCAAGGCATGTGATTCGAGGTTTTCCGGCCAGGTGGGCTGGGGAGCCTTCGTGGAGATCGGGAACCTCAGCGCCTACCCAGCTGATCCCAAGCGCGAGGCGGGGAAGGAGATTGGACAGGAAGTGGGTCGTGTCTGCGCTTTGGTTTGTGTGGATTGACAAATTGCCGAAACGCGGAAGCGTGAGTGGCAGCGGTTCTGCACAGAATCAGCCGATGGCAGAAGCCTCAAACCACCTTGTGGAACCATGGGCTCTCATGGCCATGGGAACTTCAAAGTCCCGAGGGGTGGATCAAAAGGTCGTTTGCATGGGGTGTCCAGGAAGTTACCTCTTAAAAACAAAACTTTTCAATTTTTTGGGTAACATGGGCTATATGTCTGTAAAAGATTAACTTCCCCAGGGCTTGGAGTTTTAAGGGGTAAGGGAAGTTACCCATGGTCATCTTGGGCCCCAAGTGGTTGGTCTCATGCTGTCCACTTCCAATCACCGGGCGCTAACAGAGCGTGCGGCCTCCGTAGGGTGCCAGGAGCGACTCGTTTCAGGGGTTAGCTAAAGGCTTCTTCGGAACCCACAACGGGGGCCTGGTAGGTGCCCCACCCATTTTAGTCTATTTTAGTTGGGATTGGGATGTTCACTGGGGGTACGGGCTTTTGACCCGTTGGGTTCGCGCCGAATCTGGCAAGCCGCTGTACAGCTGAAAAGAAGAACCAAGGACCAATGGGTATGGGTCAAATTAATCCACCAGGGGACCGCAGGTTTTAGTCCATGTTTCCATTTACCAGGGTTCCATGTTGGGTACCTATTTTTGACCCTCAGCCCAATGGAGCAGCCAAGTAACCAGGGGAGCCAACAACCTGGCAACAAAACAGCCAGCAGAGCAAGCAAGCAAGCAAGCAAGCAGGCAGGCAGGCAGGCAGGCAGGCATGCAAGCAAGCAAGCAATCAGATCCGACCCGACCCGACCAAACCATTCTTAACCTTGCCCAACCGAACCCAACCAACCCACAACTAATAAAATCAAGCAGTAGCAATTCACCGAGCAACCAAGCGATCAATAACTTTTCAGCAACCAGGCAATTCTGAAACCAACCCAACAATTACCCATGTGGCGCACCCAAACTGAACTATCAATTTACCAAGCAGCCAATCAATGAATCAGAAAAACAACAACTCAATGACCAATCAGGCCAATTGCCTAATCCAACAATGAGGCGACCAAATAGCGACACAGCCAAACGACCAAGCCGCGCCAGACAAACAATCAAGCCAGCAAGCGAGCAAAGACACAAAGCCAAAGACCACTCAACTGAAGTCCAAACAAGCAGACAACCAAACAACCAACCCACCAAACATTCGAATAGCCGACCCTCCCAAACAACCCGAGCGACCAACGAGGCAAACAGTCAGCCGAGCTGCCCAACACATCAAGAGGCAAGGGCCCACAGCAGCTAACATATCAAAGTTCCAAAGTTAAAAGGACCAACATTCTAAAAAACATTACACCAGCATAGACCCCAGATAGCACACCACGGCTACGAACCATGACGCAGCATCATAATGGTTTCCGCGGCATGATAATGATGATGTTGCCAGCTCCTAGTGAGTCCGTCAGCAAAACAATGATGTGGACAGGATGATGCTGCTACACCAGCCACAAACGATTCCGCGCTACATATCTAGCAAAAGAAAGGCAGAGACGACGTCCTGATGAGTTCGACAGCATCATGACGATGCGGACAGCATCATGATGATGCTCACAGCATCATGGTGGTGGCAAAGGCAGCATCTTGATCATACCACAGCCACGAGTCATCTTGCGACAGTGTAATGAAATTCAGCATCATCCTGATGTTGACAGCACTATGCCCGCCACCACACCCACGAACCATAACGCGGCGCCGCAGCGATTGCAGCAGCATCATAACGTGGTTGACAACATCATGATGATACACCAGCCACGAACCATTACGCGCGACAGTTAGAGCAGCAACAACGTCCGAATCGGTTCAACAGCATCATGATGCTGCTGACAGCATCATGATGCTGCGGCCAGCATCATGATGATGCGACAACCACGATACCCCAAACAGCACCCGCCCTAGCACCCTGCCATCCATCACCAACACCCGAAAACAGCAGCCCCAGCACCCCAGCAGCAGCCCCAATAGCACCGCAACGCAGCACCCGCGCCAGCGCCGGACACGTCCCCGAGCACCCTGCCGTCACGTACTGGCACCAGCACCTGAACCTGAACCGAACAGCACCCAAAACCGCACCTGCGCCAGCTCGATCTTGCAAAACAATTTCCCTTCTTCATTAGAAGTCTATAGTTTCCAGCTATCTGGGAAATAAGCCCACGCGGTCGGCTGCACCTCCAACAGCAACACAAAACAGCACCTGCACCACCACCCCAAACTGCATGCCCCCCAGCACCCGCCGGCAATCTCCGAAAATTGCGCCCACAACGTCAGCAGTACCTCAAGCAGCACCCCAAACAGTACCCCAAAACAGCTGCATCAGCTCCCCAAACTGCATGCGGCCATCAATCTTGCAAGAATGCGCCTGCACCATCACCAGCACCTCAAACAGCACCCCAAACTGAGTGCCCCCCCGCTGTCCATCAGCGCCCTAAACAGCACAGGCACCAGCACCGTAATCAGCACCGCAAACTGCATGCCCCCTAGCACCCGGCCGTCAGTTTCGCAAAGCGGCACCTCCACCAGCACCCGAAACTGCATGCCCCCTAGCACCCGGCCGTCAATCTTGCAAAACAGCACCTCCACCAGCACTCCAAACTACATGGCCCCCTATCTCGCAAAGCAGCACCGAAACTGCATGACTAGCGCCTGGCCGTCAATCTCGCAAAGCAGGACCTCCACCAACACTCCAAACTACATGCCCCCACTAGCGCCTGAAACTGCATGCCCCCTAGCAACCGCCGTCAATCTCGCAAAACAGCACCTCCACCAGCACTCCAAACTGCATGCCCCCTAGCACCCGGCCGTCAATCTCGCAAAGCGGCACCTCCACCAGCACCCGAAGCTGCATGCCCTCTAGCACCCGGCCGTCAATCTCGCAAAACAGCACCTCCACCAGCACCCCAAACTACATGACCCCTAGCACTTGGCCGTCAATCTTGCAACACAGCACCTCCACCAGCACCCCAAACTGCATGCCCCCTAGCACCCGTCCGTCAATCTCGCAAAACAGCACCTCCACCAGCACTGCAAACTGCATGCCCCCTAGCACCCGGCCGTCAAGCTCGCAAAGCAGCACCTCCACCAGCACCCCAAACTGCATGCCCCCCAGCACCCGGCCCTCAATCTCGCAAATCACTTTCCCTTCTTTATTAGAAGTTAGAACCCCTATAGCTTTCAGCTATCTGGGGAACAAGCAACACAAAAGAAAAACACAAGAGAACGAAAAGGCACAAAAAAGCAAGCGACCGAACATTCCAAAAAAAAGGAAAGCAGGAAAGCCCGGGCCGAGGCGGCCTGCGTGGGAGCCCGGGGCTGCGAGGCCGGGCGCCTTTTTTTGCCGGGATGGTTGACGTGCCGAGTCCTCCTAAAGAAACATGGAGCCCGTGTGTGTTGTAGTGCAAATTATCCAGTTGGGAAGCTTTTACGGGTTTCTTGGAACAGGGCGTTTTCATGCACAATGGTCTTCCAGCGCCTGTGCGGGTCCTAGGTTGGGAGACCTTGAGAGGGAACTTCCGAGTTACCTTCCGTAGCCGAAAGAAGCCAGGATGACACCAAAGAGCTTCAGCAAATTTCGAGTTTCGAGGCGTTTCCTTTGGCGCATGGGGCTTTCCAGTGGACGCTCCTTGCAGATCCGTGGAAGCCTGCTTTCAAGCCCACAGTGCGCCTTCGTTTGCTTCAGGACTTCTAAAGGACGCCAAGGGGCTCGATGATGCATATATAAGGTGTCCTTCATTGGCGAGGGCCTTACACTCCTCTTTGGGCTGTTCTGCGTGCTCGCGCTTTGGGCTCTCTTGAACATCAACCCCTATGCAAGGATCACGGTTGCAAAGGAGACAAGGTCCCCATTTCGAGAGAAATTCAATCCTTGCGGCCCCCATTTTCCCAGACCCCCCCCTTCCTGTCGCTTCCGCGAAAATACGCGCCAGGGGGACATTTGCGTATTCGACACCTGGCCGGAGGAGACGCCTTTTGCCTTCCCGTCAGAACAGACCCTGAGAGGGGCAATCCGAGGCTCACTGACAAGAGCAGGGCAATGTTGACCCCGCATACCAGTTTATTGACAGAGGTTTAGTGGAGAATCAGACCACTTTGGGAGGGGAACTGAGGGTGTTCCATACTAATCAACAGGGGTTTATTCATATGGCACCAGATGGTGTCCCACCAACTTTCTACTTTTAACAGGCGGAACCCAACAGCACAGCAGATGCCCACCTGGCAAATTCGAGCCGAATAAAATAGGTGGCTATCTTTGCGCGAACAAGCAAACACCATGCGCTTGGGCGCAGCCCTGATTGAAGCCTCCTCGCGACAGGAGTGGATGGCAGGATTCCAAATGCACAAGGCGAGAGGGGAACAGGGAGAGCTCACAATGCACCTGTCAGATGTCGATTGGTACCTGCATGGCAAGCTTGTCTTGTTTTGATGCGGTTTTGTCAACAGTGAGGTAGCCTCACAGGTCCTTTTTGCGCAGGTTTTCGAGCACACGACTCATGGGCCGTTCGCCACCTTTCCCCCGATGGGCCCCTGAACCCTTGTTCCCAGCCTCAAAGCTGGCGGTCGCCGCCAAAAGCCCGCGCTTGGGAGCCGAAAGGGGCGGCACGCGGTCGGCCAGAGCCAGTCACCAAGTCTCGCTGATCGTTTGGTAGGGGTTGTATGAGCACCTCATGACTCGCAGTGGTCGAGATAAAGCTGATAAGCACACGTTTGTCGGGGCAAGGAAGAGATGCATTGCCGCGAATCCACGGCACCGGATCTGCAAGTAGCACTCTTCACCCGCCAACCCCAGCTTTGCCGCGAGCATTTCGCGGTACCACAAAATGCCGCTCTCTGCTGTGCATTGCGGGCGTGATCCTTTTGCTTCAATGGATCAAACACGAACGACGTCTCAAGTTGATGCAAAGTTGAGGGGCTTTCTCGATGAACCCTGAAGGCGCTGTGATAGAGCCTCACATTGCAAATCCGAACTAGGTTATCCCTTATGGTTAGGTTCATCTTAACTGTACCCATTCTTTTTTTGGGGCCGCCCAAGAGATATGGGGTTGTCTCTGAATGAGGATTCCCCCCCAAAAAAAGAACTGGCGGTGTTCTTTCTCTTTAGCTCACCACCAAAAGGGGGGACCCTCAGAAAAGACACACCGATGTTTTTACCGTCACTGTCACCTCCATTTGGGTATCTATGACATGACCTGGTCTTGGAACCGCAGGGACGACCCGTCCCTTCGGCTTTGAAGCTTTGAAGCTTTGAAGCGTTGACGCCGCGTGCCAACCTGAAATGAGTCCCAAAACGGTCAACCCGCCCCGCTGGCTTCAGTCCTTGGGTCCGTCGAGGCCTCCATGCGGACGGCGCCGCTCGCGGCGGCGCCTCCACGGGCGCAGAAGTTCTTCCAGGCGCACTCGGGGCTCGGGGAAACCGATTTGGGCGGTTTCTTCTCCTTTGATCGTTGCCCCTACAAAGGATGATATTCACAAAGGGATATCCGGATGCTATTCATCCCCTTCAATATCAGGATGAATAGGGTGATATCACGATGTATTTGGTATTTTTCAGGATGATACTCACAAAGGGATCGTTGCCTGGATGCCCTCTTGAAGTTTGACACTCTCCTTGGATTGTTGCCCTTTTAAGGTATTTGGTTTATTCAGAATTGGCACGGCTTGGGGTAACTCCGCCGTAGTTCGTGCCCTTGATCATCGCCCCTTTGATCATTTGCATATTTAGGATGATACTCACAAAGGGATCACCCTGGAAATGCGTGTGAAAGATCAAGCGCCATGAGTCGCCTCAAGTCCCTTGTCTGGGTCTTGCGGATGCCGACATCGTATTGCAAGCTGTTGGGAACAACTTGGCCACCTTGGCAATTCTATCTATGTGCTTGCCGCTGACTACAGTTGTTTCCTTTAGAAACCAACTCCAGGAACATCTCCAGGCAATTCACCAACTCCCCGCGGTGCTTTACGTGTATCTTTGGCGATGAAGATGTGGGTGTGTATTTTTTTGAGGGCACCCTTTCTGTCGGCGTTTCAAAAGAGAAGCCAAACCAGAACACCGCCATTTTGAGTTTCCGGGCTCCCAGCAAAAGACAACAACAACCAAGCAGCGGCCCCCATTATTAACAACCACCCGTTTTTTTTTTTGTTTTTCTAATCCTCCCGCTTCGGGTGGCCCTTCTCTCCCGAAAAACCAAACCAACGAGTCCCGACTCCCAGCGAGTCTCAGGTCATGGAGGCGCTGGACATCTCGGAGTTCGTGGAGTCCAGCAGCAGCTACGAGGCGCGAGGGCGCGACTTCTTTGGTCGGCGAGGGGTCGATTTGGGTGTGGGTCAAAATTAAACCACCAGGAATTGGACCGCAGGTTTTGGTCCATGTTTCCATTTACAGGGTTCCATTTTGGGTTTACCCTGTTTTTGACCCACAGCCATTTGGTTCGGGGTCGAAAGGCGAGGGGCCCGAAAGAAGGCACGTGGTGGATACATGGGTGGCTCGTCGTCTTTTTTTTGGGACCCCCACGTTTGGCACCGCAGAAGAAGGCGGCTGGGGTTTCCAACGCGAAACATGGGGGTGCTTGTCTTTTTTATAGGGGTGCCCCACAAGTGATGGTTTTCCTCGTGGTTTCCCTTTAAGCCCATAAACATGAAGTATCCCTAAAAATGACACATACCCATGCCACATGTATGGACGAAATCCACGGTTGAATCGATCGGCACTGAACAGAGGAGGCAAGGAACTGTTCCCAGGGTACAAGGGAGGTCCTGAAAAGGCAAGAGCTCGAACATTGCAGTAAGCCCTCCTCACGCCACGGCTTAAGGTGTGAGCAAAATGGGGGGTAGCTCAGCACTGGTTTGACCGCTCGTCCCGAGTGCAGCGTTCGCACATTTTGGGCACAGTTGGTTGCTCAGACAGGACCCTCAAGGGTGTTTTCCTTTCGGCCCGTCGTTTGCAGCTTGGGCTTTTTGAAGGGTTTCCTCTTACACCGCCCCTTCCAAGAGAATCTCACCAGAAAAAACGGGCCAAGAAGGTGATGTTTTCTTCACCCCAACACCCCAAAAGGGGCTGGTTGATTGTTTTTGGGAAACCCCCAAAATCCTCAAACAAGCAAACGCCCAAAAGGGTCCGTTTTGATGATTGCCACCAAAACAAGAGGGTGTGAGCCGGGCAAACGCTTTGCGGGTTGCCCAGTCGGATGGTTCCAGGGATCTTCTGGGCAATTCCAGAGGTTTGGGATGGGTGTCAACTTCTTGGGATCTGAAATCAAATTTCCAGCACCCTCCAAGGGTTGGTAGCCAAAATGGCTCTCACACGGGCACATCAGGTACCAATGGACCACAGGGTGCTGGTTCACACATGTTCAGCCTCTTCTTTTGGGACCGGCAAACGAGCAACTGCCTAGATGGCCACGTTGCTGCTTTTTTCAGTCACTGTTGCTGCTTTTCGAGGTAAAGTGGATGGACAAAAGCGATCGCAACTGGCGATCCAGGTGGTCTTTGGCGGGACACGTGGAGTGCAGGACTCGGCCGTTGGCTTCGCCAGGAGCTGCTGACGCTGCGGCACCGCCTGGCCGACGGCCGAGATCTCCGGTTCGGAGTCGGCCGAGGCGTTTTTGTCTTGCCTTGGAGCGGCTGGTTGGCACGCAACTCCCGAGTTTTTTTTTTTTTTGAGGGCACCTTCTTTTTGGTTCGGTTGTTTTTTTTGTGTGTTTTGAGGCCACCCCTTTCTTTTTTGGTTTGGTTAAAAGGAACACCAAAAGGAAGACCGTTGCGCCACTGGGTGAGTCCCCTAAACAAACAGACGAGCCACCCACGGCTCGGGCCTTGTTCGTAGGGATCCCACGAAGCCCTCGGCTCACCGGGGACGCATTCTTCGGTTGGCATGTGATCGGCTTTGGGCTGGACCCATGTCTCGCTGCATGTGCGCCATGGTGAAAAAAGGCCAGTTCCTTCACCCGGGATTAACAGGGCTCATCCGCATGGGCGTCCGGATGCAAAAAAGAATGGGTGTTTTTTGTTGATGGTACCATTTTTGGGTGTGGTTTGAAGGGAAGCCAAAAGGAAAGCCACCGTTTGGGGATTTGGGGGTCCCTAAAAAAAGGACCCACCCATATGCCATTGCAATGCTTATGGGAACCAAGACCCAATCGGCCAAACAAACGGGAGTTTTCTTGCCACGGCACGTGCGCTGAGGAACATCCAGACCTTGGGCTCTTCGAGGTGCGAGAAGGGGAGTCGGGGGGCGAGGGATGGATTGCTCCTAGCCGAGAGATCCTCCCCGGCGGTTAGCTTGCAATTTTAGTCAGAGACCGCTTCGACTTGGTTTTTCTTTTGTGGGTGGGGAATAGGGGGGAGTTCAGAAGTGGTGGGAAGGTAGTGCCTTGGAGAAACTGCGTGCTTTCCCAACAAATGGGAAGGCAGCCCGCAATCCCCAAATCACAAATCTGGCAAAAGGAGGGGCCCAGTGATTGCATTTGCGTGTAAAGAAAACCAAGCAACTTTCGGCGTCCCAACTTCGAATTGGCTTGACTGGTAAGCTTCCATTTGGTTAAGAATATGTTGTATTTGCTCCTGTTGGTGTTGAAGGAAACCCATTACTGCCGGACATATTCTTATTTTTCCAGGGGACATATCCGCACATGGAGGTGGAGGGTGTGTGTGTGTGTGTTTCCTGGTTCCCCGACTTGCAAGGCATCAGGACCAATTCGGTGTGCTTTTGATTGGTGAGTTTGGGTTCCGCCGGTTTAGATTGGTTGTACGCTTACCCTCCCACCAATAAACATGGAACCTGACACGGTGTCCCTTGAATTGGAAAATGGTCCAAACCAGGACCGAGTCCCCGAACGTCGAACGGCTCCATGTTCATTGGTAAGAGGGTACCAGCGAAACCCATCGAGATTTGTTTAAAAGGACACCTACTGTGGACGGAACAGATCCTGCACCACCGTTCAGAAGCTCTGGTTTCTGATTCCGAATACCGCAACAAAGCTAATCTCAGTTCAGTGGCACCCCTTTTCTTGTTCCCCGTGTTTTGGCTGGCTTCTTCCCACGAAAACCGGTCCAAGCCCCAAAAACGGGTTCCCTGTTTTTTGCAGCGTCGCTGAACCACTGTTGTGGTTTCATTCCCAGGTTTTTCCCGCACAGGACAAGATCCGGCTGCGGCGCGAGCTGCTGCCGGCCGCCGGGGTGGAAGCCACCCCCAGCACCACGGCCGGGGCCGGAAACGAGGTGGGCCCAAAGGAACTGCGGATGGCCTCGAAATCGAAATGGGTATGGGTCAAAATTAAACCACCAGGAATCGGACCACAGGTTTCAGTCCTTGAACTCCTCTTGCCAGGACAAGCCATTTTGGGGTCACCCAGCCAAATCGAACTCCATCCGCGAAGCTCGCAGCCAAGGTCAATGAAGCCCTGGGAAATTGTTCGCCGTGTGTGCTGGAAATCGGATCAGACACGGGTTTCTGAACGCCGCGAAATGGACATCTCGTCCGTCCACATGGGGCAAAGTCTCGAAGCGGAAAGCTTCAAAGGGATGGTGTCAATCGTTTGGTGGACAGGAAACAACACATCCGACATGAGCCCCTAAACCATAGGTGTCCTTTTTGGTTGGTTTGCTTAAAAAATAGAGGGCGACTCCTGGTTTAGATGGGGTTTGTTCCATTGACCAGGGGAACCCATCTATTTTTCCAAAAGGCCACCTATGCATGAGCCCCTAAGCTCTTTCCGCAACCCATGGGACCAAACAGAATGAGCATCGCGCCCGGCTCTTTGAGCAGCCCAATTTCTTCGGGAAGTGACAAGCAGATCCGGGAAGCACCTCATCCATTTCGGAGGAGCAGAAGCCACCATTAGGGCCGTCATAGGGGAACAAGTCCACTGGAGCAGCCCCCGGCTGAATTTCTGAAGGTGGCTCTATTACACGGTTTTTAAGTTTGTTGCTCGGCCAACATAAAACTTCACGCAGAAGCAGAAGCCTACCAGGGAGGGGACAAGTCCACTGCCAACGCTGTTTTATCCAGTTCAGAACTATGACTGAACCAAAGGTCAATTTTGGGGCGCTCACTTGGGATCTGAGGCATACATCTTTCCTACGACGACTTCGACGTGGCCCGGTTCTTGCACGGCCGGAGCAGCTATGTGGCGCGCCTGGCGAGGTCTTTTTTTTCTGGAGCAGCTGGTTCGATGTGTCCGTTGATGTGTGAGGGACTCACTGAGATAGGTGCCCTTAGGTTGGTTTTTTAAAGGATAGATGGGCAAGCCGCTGGTTGGGATTGGGTTTTTATGCCATCCACGTGTCAGGGCTATCAGTATTTTCAAACTTTTCACCCAGGCTCACTGATTTTTTTCCGCAGCCAGGAAAATCTTGAACACAATCCCGCCTCCAATATGGGCAAGAGCGCAATATCATATTTTGGGTGTTTACGTGGGGACGATGGGTCGGAAGGAGGAGTAGACGATGCACCTCAATGAAACACTCAGGGGTCGTTTTTTTTTTTGTTTTGCTGGGCATCAGCCATGTAAGCAAGGTTTGCTGTCTTGCTAGAGTTGCTTGCCGGATACTGGACCCTCTGAGGTCTCCGCGTTGCGCTCACATCCATTTTAGCTCGGGCTTCACATCAAGAACACCTCAATTGGAGGCAGGAGTGTTGGTTTCGGGATTCAATCCCGCGGTGGCAGGTGAAGCCGTCCCACATGTCCGAGTCCCAGCACGTCTTCGTGATAAAAGATGGCAGCGGTCTCAAGTGCCTCCAGTTTTCTTGTTCCCCCTCCCAAGAGAGACCCCACAAACCACTAATGCAAACCAACCAAGAGTTTATGGCGGCAGCAATGCAGACAACGGGTGAAGCAATCATGGGACATCTTGTTTTGGAGCAAATGCCCACTTTCTGTTGGGTCTTTTCGGGAGGCTTCACCAATGTCGCAGGAGGCTCCCCACCATTTTTAGCAAGAGGGGAACTCACCGTCACCGCCGTCTGCAGGTCAGGTTTTGCCTTTTACCAAGGAATTTGCTTCTTAAAATAGGGGACCTCCCCAACATGGCCTTTTGGCTTACCTTAGCCAAGGGGGTGGGAAAAAAAACCCAAACCCAGGCCCCAACAAAGTAGTTCCCCAGCCCAAAAGGCAAACCCCTCCCCCCAACCCCCTCCCCCCAAACCCCCAACCCCCCCCCCCCCCCCCCCCCATTCGGATTTTTTTTCGGGGGGAACAGCTCGGTCGGATTTTTCCTTCTTTTTTTCGGGTCGTCCGAGGTTTGAACCTGCTGCACAGCACCTGGTTCGCATCTCCCGCCAGGAACTCCGTGCAGGAGATCCAGGCGACGGGTGGACGCGGTGCCGGGGGCTTTGAGGGCTTTGGGGTTCAAAGCAGAAGCCAAAAGCAACACCCCGCGCCATTATTTTTTTTTTTGGGGTGGGTGGGTGGTTCTGAGTCCTGAAGAAAGACATACCCAACTGGAAAAGGAAATCAAAACCATTCTTTTTTGGAGGGGTCCGACAAACAAAGGAAAGTGCAGAGAAGTGCAACATATTTTGAGGAACATCGCTTTTCTTGGTGGGGTCCTCAATATTTGGCAAAATGTTGGGCAAGATTTCGCTGTGATTTTGTAAAGAGGGAAGCACCTGGAAAGTGGTTGGAATTCACACCCATTCGGGTAGCTGTCAGGACTGGCTTCTTGGTTCATCTAAACAGCAACGTACCCTGGCCCTTTAAAAGGACGCTCGGGGCCTTCCTTGTTTGGATCGAGGTCATTTTGCGAGCCCGCGCAATTGTTGGCAGCGTTCTTGAAATACATCCGGTCGCTGATTGGATTGGTTGGATGTGTTTGATGGGAGACCAGGAAGCAAGGGAAAGCAATTTGCTTGTTTGGCAGGCCATGGAGTTGATCCCATAGACCGTTTATTTCCCGTGAACTGTTTTGCCAAAATTATTAATTGAAACATATTGAACAGAGTGACACAGTGTATGGGACAACGTGGAGAATGCCTTTGCTCACTTCAACCAGGAATTTATACAAATCAAGCAGCCGATCGTTGGTGGTTTGGCTTGCTGGGATTGGAGCCGCTGGTCTTACAACCCAACCTCCACACCTCCAAACCGCCCTTTTGGAGAGTAGCGGATTATTTTTTTGGCACCACAACGGGCCCCAAGAACGGAACTCGCGAATGGGAGACTCTGAGAGGCGGTGGTGGACGGGTTCCCCCAGCACAAGGCCAAAGACTGGGAGCGCCTTTCCAAAATCGAATCGGGCGGCTTTCCAAAATAACACCAGGCCCAAAGAGAGTAGCGCCACTAAGTGTCAAAAGGGTTTGGAACAAGATAGATTTCGGTTGTCCTTTTGGCTTCTTCTGTGAACGCACCCACATGGAGCCCACTACAAGAAAAAGGAGAACTGTGCTGGTTTTGGAACCGGAAAGTCCGAACACCGTGCTATGCTTGTTTAAGCGTTAAGGCCCGGCATCTTTTTAAAGACGCGCAGGTTTCTTGTTGGTGTCACCACCACCAAAAAGGGGGGGGGGGGCGCCTGCAGTTTTTAGACCTCCCCCTCTTGTCTGGGGCCTACTTCGGGGGCCCCGCAGCGCAGAAACTGGCAGCCGAGCTGTTTTTTTCCTTTCCGTTTTCGGCGGCCCAGAAGAGGTGGGTGTGTCTCCCTCTAGGTGCTTGTGTTTGCTTGTGAATATTTGGGGGGGGCTCGGTGAAACGACTGGGGTTCCCGCCAAAGAACTTTTGCAGCAGAGGCTGCACAGGTTGTGAGTGTGGACTTGAATATGACTTATGTCCCGAATGGAACACTCGTTGAACCACAGCCATGGGCAGGAACCCAGGCCAATGAAAAGCTCCCTGTTTTGGGAAACAGGAGAGGCCAACGGGAAGCAGTTCCTTCCTCTTGCAAGGCTTGCCAATGCGAACCTATTTTGCAACACCCGCATTGATTGCGGTTTGAGCTGCAGAGAGATGTTTGTTCCCCGAAAAGTGGATGGTTACGGTTACCCTCAGAAAAGTCGTCCAATTGCTGACACGCGCGCACGGGCTCAACGTGCGGTCTTTGTGTGTCCTTTTAAGACGGAGCTCCTCTGAGACTTTGGTACGCCTCGACGACAGGTTTCGGATGTGTTTGAGATTGGCGCGCTGCAGGCCCTGATTGCAAAAGCGTTTCCAGGCTCGCGGTGCACACCTGCCACTACATCGCATGCCCATTTTGAGTTTGGTTGGAGCCACGCAAAGCCATGGGATTTCTACAGGGCTTCCTGGGAAAAGAAACATTAGAGACCTGTGCCAGGAGCGGGCATTTCTCAAGAAGGCTTGGCCCAAAATTCCGCCCCAAGAAGGCTTGGACATGGCATCTCTTTTGCCAAGAGAGTGACGTGGTGGTCTCCCAGAAAAGAAGCACAGAAGCATAGGCCTCCTTTTAGGTTTACCTATTTTCGCAGAGATTCCATTTTCCCCGAATGGTGGGTAACTAAGGGAACCACCAAGTTAAATCCCAAAAAGCACATGGATCATTACTATCGTGGCTTGCCTGGGATCCACTGGGCCCATGCCCCTAAGCCGTCAAGAGATTCCAGACACCGAAGCCTCTGGTCGACCGAGGTGCCGAGCCTTGCTGGGTGCACGGCCTGGGGTGATCGTGGAGGAGCTGGTTTTGGCGACCAAGGCGGGGCGACCGACCCAAGGGATTCCCTACACCGCTCTTGGGGTTTTTCTACCGCCGGTTGTTGTTGTTGAGTTGTTCTTGTTCTCAAAAAAAGCATGAACGCCAGTATCATTCCGTTTCCGATTTGGTGATATACAGATGCTTCTTTATATTTCATTATATTATTACTATTACTATTACTGTTATTATTATTATGACTATTATTTTTATTATTATTATTATTATAATTATTATTATTATTATTATTATTATTATTATTATTATTATTATTATTATTATTATTATTATTATTATTTATTATTATCATCATCATCATCATCATCATCATCATCATCATCATCATCATCATCATCATCATCATCATCATCATCATCATCATCATCATCATCATCATCTCATCACTATCATTATTGTTATTATTATTACTACTATTACTGTTATATCTATATTTATTTACATTAAATATATGTTTACTTGTTTATTCTTGTGTAATCTATTTTACTTTGGGGGGAGGGGGGTTCCATGGTGACCTCGTATTTTCATGTTGCCGCATGGGGTCTCAGCCAAAGCACCGGTTCAGCTCTATTTCTGGAACCAACCACGGCCGGTTGCCAATGCACCAGCCTCTGTTTGTAACAATCCCGTGATTGGGCTGTGGGTCAAAGCCGTTTTGGTACCATCTTGGGGTAGGTGCACCTCCCATTTTAGTTTATTTTAGTGGAGATTGGGATGTTCACTGGGGGCTAACCGGATTGACCCACAGCCATGAGTTTTGAAACAGGCAGGAAGAGAGGGAAAAAGAAGAGCGAGAGAGAGAGAGAGAGAGAGAGAGAGAGAGAGAGAGAGAGAGCGAGAGAGAGAGAGAGCGAGAGCGAGAGAGAGAGAGAGAGAGAGAGAGCCGGCTTCGTTTGGCAACCAGGGAGCCCTACGGAGTATGGAGGCGATCCAACTTGTTTTTTTACTGCGGTGGGCACCTCTCAGAAGGCTCGAAGGAAGACCTTCCAGTCTCGCAGAAGTTGGAACTTAAGTACGGCATTTACACCTTTGCCTTTGGACACAGTTGTTTTTGACTTGATTTGGGGTCCTTGCCAAACATCAAAGCGCTTAGATCAGCTTTGATCTGCTTTTGCCATGCTTTTGCTTCAGCTTGGGCAGGCGGAGCTTCCAGGGAAGTACATGGTGGACGAGTACAAGCCCTCCGCCTTCAGGTATGAAGGTACTTTATTTGGTGGATTCATTGGTCACAAGAAGCCACAAGTTGAACCGGGGATCCACAGAAGCAGTTGTTTGGTGGTGCCTTTTTGGAGTTGGTACTCTGTGCAGGGGTGGTTCGGGAACACCAAAACGAAAGCAACCCATTTAGCAGTTGTGGCGTACTACTTTCGTTGGCAACCATGGTAGATTTACAGAACTGGACAAACTCCACCGTCTGTTTGACTGGAGCTTCAAGCAAAATCGAGCTGCAGTTGGAACATGCAGACATATCATTTGTAGCATCAAGCTCAATGCACAACCAGCTCGGGTTGCAGCTGTTGCTTCGTCAGTGCTTTTGGACAAAGTCTGCGCGGAACTTTGCACAGGGTGGAGGGGAACATGTTGCCGCAGCCAAACGATCTCAGGTTTTACACCAGCTGGGGTGAGACGATCTTGGCAGAGGCTGGCTCTTCAATGTAGCTGCGTGGGACGTAAACCAGGGTAGTCCAAATTGGCTGAAAACAGACTGAGGGGTTGGTTCCCTGTTCTACCTTTTTTAAACGGAAGTCATTTCATCATTTGGAAGGCATTCCATTGGTATCACACAAGCGGGCCATTTTCAGGAAGAGTGTTGCGCGCACGAGAATATATTTTTCTGCTTGGCCTTGGTTTCTGCAGGTACTCGCTTCTAATGTGGTTCTTGTTGATGAACCTGGGGAGCAGTCGTTTCTGCCTCTTGCTTTCTTGTTGCTTTTACTTCATATAGCCCTGTCCGAAAGGACAGCGAAGCTCTGCCGAGCGAGAGATTGAGTCCCCGGACAACAGGCCCAATCCTCACGGGGCCTTTGCCGGAATCCTTTTGGTATGTCCCGTTGAAACATCTTCTGGCCCATATGGCTGTGGGTCAAAAATGGGTACCCAACATGGAACCCTGGTAAATGGAACCCATGACAAAGACAGGCGGTCCCCTGGTGGTTTAGTTTTGACCCACACCCATACTGTGGATGGACGAAATCCCGCACCACCCAAGAAACTCTAGAATGATGATTCCCCTGTAAATACCAACAAACAATGGTTTCCCATGGTTTCAAAGTGGTGCAGGATTTCGTCCATCCACAGTATTGAGTTCTTGATGTTTCAAGCGGGACCTTGGATGTTTCTGTGCTCAGAACATCATCTTCTCCTCCGGCGTGATGATGGAGATCTCCCGGGACGGTCAGATCTTGACCGCCAAGGCAGAGCGGCCATCGCGCTGGGTTTCCTGCAGGGGACCTCCCTTAGATGGCAGGGTCCGCCCTAAACACCTCTCCAAGGCGTTTTTTTGCAGTGGGCAGGAATTGTCGGGGTGAACTCTGGCGTTTTACAATGCGCAGGGATGCAGGAAAGCAGAAGTATCACCTGGCGCAGAAAATTCTGGATCACGCAAAGACACGGGCAAGTTGAACCACCAAAACAACTAAGTGAGTCCGTCTCCACGGCCTTTTACTCTCCAATCAATTAACATGGAATCTGATGTTCGATGGCCCTGGTTTGGACCATTCGCCTTGTTAAGGGGCCATTTCCCTGTCAGGTTCCAGCTGTTGGTGGGCTAGTACTTAGATGGTCTGAGACTTAGTTAAATGGCTAGTATAAGTAGATAGTTAAATGAGACCTAGTTAAATGACTTAGTTACTAGCAATTTAAGTATCCCCTTTTCAATGGTTTTACGGTGGAGGTTTGGTGGCCTTGGCCCGTTTCGAGCCGTTCCCCGAGGATGGGTGCCCTCCTGCGTGCCTGGCGCCCTGCTTCCGGGAGATGGTCCGCATGGCCGAGCAGGCGTGGGCTGTGGGTTGTTGCGGGACGTACGTGCAGGTCGGTTTCCTTTTGGTTCATCCAAAAAGGGGCCCCCTGTCCATGGACGAAATCCGGATTCCCCTGTAAATACCAACGAACAAAGGTTTCCCATGGCTTCACAGTGGTGTAGGTTTTGTCCATCCGCAGTATTGGCAGACACCTCCATCTGAGTTTGCCCTCTCAATACAAATCTGCTTTCCTGGATCGCCAGTTGCTGTTCCTTCCCCGAAACTGTGGCTGCGTTTTGGATAAACAAATTGCCAGTTGTTGCCAGTTGTTTCCTTTTCTCAGCAAGTGAGTATGTGTCTCTGTGTGTTTTTCTTTTTTCTTTTTTCTTTTCCGATAAAAGTGTGTGGACAAAAGGTACCGCAACTTGGCGTGCTTCGGGGGTTGGGTTGATTTGGAGGTGTCCAGGGCCGTAGGGAGCAGCGAGAGTCGGCGGGGGCTTCATGATTCCGAAGAAGGGGAACCCAGGATTTCGTCCTGGGGCTCATCAGAAGCTACATGACCATCGTGAAAAGAAAAGCAAAGGATATTGTGTCCCCACGAAATGGGGGAAAAGTTAGCCTTGGTCATTTGGGGGCCAGCAAAATTGTTTAAACCGCAGAGTGAGCGGTTCTCTGAGCGCGTAAACACCAGAAGCCGAGGAATATGTTGCACATGTAATTTTTCATGCATCTGCTTTAAAAAAAATGCGAGCTCTCCTGGGGGTAGAACGAGCTCACCATGATAGGGATCCCTCTCGCTGTCTCTGTCTCTCGCTCTCTCTCTCTCTCTCTCTCTCTCTCTCGCTCTCTCTGTCTCTGTCTCTCTGTCTCTCTCTCTCTCTCGCGCAGTCTCTCTCGTTGTCTCTGTCGAGAGAGAGACAGCGAGAGGGAGACAGAGAGAGAGAGAGAGACAGACAGAGGGAGAGAGAGACAGCGAGAGAGAGACAGAGAGTGACAGCGAGAGAGAGAGAGAGAGAGAGAGAGAGAGAGAGAAAGAGAGAGAGAGAGAGAGCGAAAGAGAGAGAGAGAGAGAGAGTGAGAGGGACAGAAAGAGAGAGAGAGAGAGAGACAGCGAGAGAGAGAGAGAGAGAGAGAAGGAGAGAGCGAGAGAGAGTGCGAGAGAGAGAGAGAGAGAGAGAAAGAGAGAGAGAGAGAGACAGAGAGAGCGAGAGACGGCGAGAGTGAGAGAGAGAGAGAGAGAGAGCGAGAGAGAGCGAGAGACGGCGAGAGAGAGTGAGAGAGAGAGCGAGAGACAGAGAGAGCGAGAGTGAGAGAGAGAGAGAGAGAGAGAGAGAGAGAGAGAGAGAGAGAGCGAAAGAGAGAGAGAGAGAGAGAGAGAGAGAGAGTGAGAGGGACAGAAAGAGCGAGAGACGGCGAGAGAGAGAGAGAGAGACAGAGACAGAGACATCGAGAGAGAGAGAGGCAGACAGAAGGGCAGACAGGCAGACAGCCATGCAGACATACATATGTACAGAGGTACATAGGCACATGAATACATACGTACGTACTTACATACCTATTGCAAACATGTGATTTTATTGACTGCTGCTCAATGCCACCTCCCTCCGAGTCCATCCATATCAGAAGGTCGGTCCCAAGCGGCGGTGGATACTTCTTTTAAAAGCTGCAATCAAAGGCTGGGCAGACACATGCCTGTCGTTGGGACACAGTTTACATTTTTGCTTATGGTGGTTTAGTGGGAAATCCAACCGCTTTACTGCTAGAATCTAAATTTTTGCCCCCCTTCCAACGTCAACCAAGGTGACCTGGGCCGGTATTTTTAGCACTTGGGAAGGGCTGGATGTGGGGCAAGCTGAAGAAACAGGCCTTTTGGTGGTCGAATTTGTGTGTTTCAAGAACAAGAAATCCACGACAGTGGGACTGTGGATGGACAGAACTTTCAGCACCAGTTGGTAGGTGGTACATCCCAGCACTCAAATCAATTGTTTCCTCCCTCCCACTAAAATGGCACCTGACAGGACCCGGCCCCGGCAAGGAGAGGAAAATGATCTCCAGGGTATCCCAGACATGCCTCTGTTACTCGGAGGAAGGGTACATGATCTATTTGGAATATGGGGCCTGTGCTGCTCATAAACCCCCTTTGGGCAAGTAAACTCCGAGCTGCGTCTCGTGTGGAGGCTTCATAGCGTTGGCCTCAGGGGCTTTCCCATCCAAAAACTCTCGGCGCTGCTTGTTGGTCGGAGACCCGTGGTTTTAATTTTTGTCACTCTGATACCTATAGGCTTGGCGGTTCCCAGCCGTCCGGTTTCCATAAAAGTCAAACTTTTTAGCAGGAGATCTGAAAACTGACAGCCCAGGGCCTTTTTCTTCTTTGTTTTCTGAAGAAGCGCCACCCAAATTTCATGCCCCCGCCCGTTTGTTTTTTGGACAGGGCTTAACAAACGCCAGCCGCGGGGCGCCGCCGGGTTTCTTTGGCCGTCGCCAGGTTGCCACCTACGCGCGCACGGACTTCTTGCGGGTGGACATCTTGGACAGGGCCTCAGTGGCTCGTGTTTTTTGGTGGCGATGGAAAATCTGCTTGGGCTTCCGCGTGTGCCCCTTGGACACCTAGAAAGGCTATGGGTAAGCCAAGGATACGCCCTTGATAAGGCCTTGGTTAAGGGCTGAGCAACGTGGCGCAACTCTTAGGCAACGCAAGACACCACACACATACACATCCACGTGAGCAAGGGGAGAGTTGGGTGCCCAAACATGTATCTAGGGCTGTGGACAAATCAGACACATGAGTTCCGGCCAACTGCGGTGTTAGGAGGCAGAACATCGAGATTCGACGATTCAACTCAACCCGGGAATCAGCTGCTTGACGAGTCCGTTGTGAGTTTCATGCGCATGGGGCTCCAGTAAGGCAAGGGCTGGGGTTTTGGTCCGAGAGCAAAACAGATGCAGTGCTTAAAGGGGCAGGGTACTTAGTAAGTGATTAGTAATCATGGTTATAACCAACCATGGTAAGTGGGTTGTAACCATGGTTCCCAACCACTTACTAAGTACCCTGCCCCTTTGAGTGGCTGTCGCGGGTAATTCGTCTTTCTTGCGACAATTGGTTCTTAAGCTCCCCGGAGGGCGTAGGCTTCTGGTTTGAAGACTGTTTGGTCCTCTCCACTATGGCCGGCCCAGTTTGCGCTCCATGTGGGTTGTCCAGAGTCTGACAGACTCCATGGGATAGCCACAAGGACCCCTTGCTTTTTGAGGCAAGCCGGACATTTCCTGCCAACCCAAAAGCCTTGATTGCCAACCCAGAAGGCTTGCTTGTAGAAATCGATTGGTGTCGTTTCCCTTGGGCTGTTTTTGCAAATGCGGAGGTGGGAGTCGAGGGGTGCAAATCACCTCGGTGATGCTACCAGGGACCTCCCCCAGATGGGTCAGCAGTCAGTCTGGAAAAGGACCCCGGTTTGGGGCAGCCGTCCGTTTGCTGCAGGTCCAAGGCAACTGCGAGGCTTTGTACGTGAGCGAGGAGGGAGGGCTGGGTGGGAGGAGTTGCGAGGATGTTTGGGTGGGGAGGCTGAACACAATATGGCACCACACACACACACACACACATGCGCAGCCTCTCAACATATTTCATGCCAACAGTTTCAACAATAAATTCCGATCCGAGACTCAACATCACAGAATCCAATATAACGCTCTTTGCCATCTTCATCAGTATGGCCATAATTTGTATGGCCCATTGAAACACAAAGTCACACATCATATGGAGTTTTGTGCAAGTGTTGGTTCTGATGAAGATTAGCTACCGTGGATGGGCAAATTCCTGCACCAGTTGGTAGGTGGTTCTGCCGGTATTTGTAGGGAGCGTGCGTGCAGTTGCGTGCTATCACCCCAAGCTGCAAGTTGAAAGACATAGGCACAGGAGCCAAACAAAACCGCTCTTTGCCGTATGCGGTTTCTTTTCAACGGGGAAAAACAGGTCTCACCAGATATCCTTGCATTCAATTCGATGCAAGGGTGCTCATGGTCCTCGGCCTCAAGGTTTTCTTGGATCCAGCCCGTAAGCATCAGGATTTTGAGTTGCCCCTCTTGACATCACCTCTTGGCAGGGAGTCTCCATGTGGCAAGCAAAAGGAAGACGCCGTTGGGCGACTATTTTTTAGCCGCCCAGCAGTTAGGTGGCTGGTTCCAGTTTTCACATCGGGATTCATCCACACGCAATGTTTCGGCCGCCCCGTCCTGGGTCCAGGTGGAACTCTTTCCGGCCAGCGACTTCAGTCCGGCCCTGAAGGCCGGTTGGGCCCCTTGAAGTGGTTTGCCGGTGCTCAGCTGAGGGAATGCAGCTCGGGATTCCCTGAAAGGAAGCCATAGGGGATGGTTTAGGTGGTTTGTGTTTTGTTTTTTTCGGGCTGGGGGTAGATCGGCTGATTTCCACCATGTTGGTTTACTCACCTGGACTCACCTTGTCAAGTCCAAACCACTGAAACCCCTATACGGTGCGCAACAGGCTCTTCCTCCATTTCCCTTAGAGAAACTCCAAAAGTGGCAATCGTTTCAGTGGAAACCACCGTAAATTGGTCAACCTTTGATTTGGGAACTGCGGGTGACCCTGGCCTTCAGCTTCCCACATGACTCGCCGTTGCGCTTCAAGCCATGCAATGGCATGGCAGCTGCCTGAGTTGCCTGGGCCAGGCACAGCCTCGCCCAGTGATGCAAGTGCTGAAGATGCCAGTGCTGACGAGCTCGGCAGTGATGCTCAGCTCTCGAAGGTGCGAGCCTTGGCAGACCGTATCTCAAGAATGGCGATTCTGCGGCCTGAAGTGCTGCGGGTCACAGCTGCCCACAATGCATTCTCCTCGTGTTTCGCACCTCTCAGACCCGGTGAGAGACACTTCTTCGAGAAAAGCCGAGAGGCAAGCGAGATCGACGAGTTCTGGAGTCATTCTTGGCAAGGGCGGGCCTGGCAGAAAGGGCTGACACTGTTAGTGCTGAACAATGGCCTGATCGCGATTTGTGTGGGCAACTTCTGCGCATTGCTGGGGATGGTGCTCTTCCTACTAGGCGTCCTGCCGGGGTTCAAGCGAAATTTGCCAGATGAAACCGAGTCTTTTGCGTGGTCAGAAGCATTTGGCGTTGTCGGCACCTTCTTGACCCTGCTATTTTGGAGGTCGAGGAAGAAAGTATTTCTGGATGGTATCTGCATTAGCAACACAGACATGGCCTTGAAAACTGAGGCCATTTGCAGCCTTGCCGGAATGCTTGACAAGTCTCGTTCCATGCTTGTGCTTTGGGATGTGTCATTCGCGGAGAGATTGTGGTGTATATTCGAGATCGCTGCATTTCTCAAGAGCAAAGAGGGCCGACGTGAACGTCGGCTTGTAGTTTGCCCGACCTTGACAGGCCCGGCCTCCTTCGCCGTGACTGGAATGATGATGGCTACAGTTGCCCCATTAGCCCTGGTCCCACAAAGCCAGAATTTCTTTTCTCTGAAGCTCGCAGGCATGCTCTTTGCGTGCAGTCTTTGTGGACTTGCAAGTTGCCACGTGTTTCGTGGTTTCTACCGCTCCGTGGAAACTATGCAGGCCCAGCTGCTATCTTTACAAGTGACAGACTTGAAATGCAGCTGCTGCAGCGCAGGCCATGTATACCCAGATGGACGGCGGATGATATGTGACAGGCAAGTGATTTCGGAATGCATTGCGATATGGTTTGGCAGCACTGACGACTTTGTGCGTTGCATCCGAGCAGAAGTCGTAGATGTCATCACTGGACAGCTTGAAGAAAATGCTTTCAGCATTGCTTGGAGCCTTGCAGTCAACAGCCCATTTTTATGGGCAATGTTGGATATGTTTCAGCGAGACATGTCCACCAGCGTGGCTACTCATTTTGCGCTCATACGGCTCTTCGTGGGAATTAGCCTCATGTTGTTGCTGTGCCCCATGTGGACTGAGTGGTCCAAGTTCCTGGCCTACCGCCTGCGCCACGAATCCAGCTCCTGGAGCGGCGAGCTGCTCAGGGATGTGCTCATGGGCCTCTTCATTCTTCCGGGGATTCTCCTTGCTGCAGGTCCGTTTTTGAGTCTCGGATGCAAAAGGCGCCCCTTTTGCTTTTCACCTTTGAGCGCCCCCCTGTTGCTTTTTTCCCCGTTTTGGACGGCCAAACATAAGAGATCGCCTTTCATTTCTGTGCAACTGAGGATCGGCTATGAAGTGGAAGCGGACTGGAGGAAACTGGCGGTTTTCAACTGCTTCACTTTTGCTGGATGGGCTCTTGCCTGCTCCTTGCACCGACACCAGCGAGGGTACCTGAGCCAATTCCTCACGCAGAGGCGAAGCGACAGCTTGTGAATTTGTTTCACCGACAGACATTTTGGAAGCGATAGCTTGTGAATCGGTTTCACCGACAGACGTTTTGGAAGCAACAGCTTGTGAATCGGTACACTTTGGGGTTGTAACAATACAACACCCTGCGCTTTTTGATATATATTTTTTCAAGAGGGACATGTTCCCTCAACGTCCAAACCACGGCTTGCCTTGAAGAAACGAGTAAGGCAACGAAAGCAAAGATGTTGGTGTTGACTTTGACCTCCCGTGTGGCAGCCGAGAATCTGAAGGTTTCACGAAGCAACTGGTCATGATCAGTTTGCTTCCCCTAGTTTTGCCATGGCCGTGTAAAAGAAAAAACCGGTCACAAAGCAGCCAAACAGGCCAGGCAGACTGCCAAGTAGGCCGATCATTGTGGTTGATCACGTTCATCCAACTACTTCTGTGATACTTCTGGGAATCTCCCCTCTTGAAAAAGGGGGGTTCGTCTTTGGGGTTTGGCCCTTTTGTCGTATCTCAGGTTTGGTCACTTCAACCACAGTCCTGGTACTGATGAACACAACATCCTGCACCACTTGGGATGGAGATGAAGCCCTATACCCGGATCCGGATAGATACACGTACCAACTGGTGCTGGATTTTGCCCATCCAAATTATGGAAGGTTTTGTAGAAGTTGCGGGGTATGTTGCTCTGACGTGGTGCACACCCTTCAAGACAATATCTCGCAGAATCGAACACAACAACTTACCTCCTTTGCACGGATCCGCGATTTCGACTGCACATTAACTTGATTTTAGGTCATGCTACTTATACACAGAGGCATTTCCAAACTCAGGTATGCCGCTTGGATTTGAAGTATTGACTTTAAACCAACCCCAAGGGTGCCCTCAAACAAGACAAAGCCGCATTGGAAAAGCAATGAACAACTGCAGAACGCTCCCTTTACACGATGCCCTTTTTAAAACCTCGGAAAAAAAGGAAAAAAGCAAAGAACAACTAGAATAACAATAAAACCAAGCCCCCCCCCCCCAAAGTCAGGACAGGTGACATGGTCTTGTATTTTTATTTTATTTTGTCCTCTTAAGGTGTTTCATACTTTTTTCAATGAAATGCCAACAACTATGTGTTTCCAGACTGAAATAAACTACAATCACCAAAAAGCGCACGCTCAGGGTGACCTGTTCTGAACAAAAGGGGGTGCCCTCAAAGAAGGACATTTTTCCTCGAAAGCATCGCGAAGGGTTCTTCCGCGCGGAGCTCTCAGATCAACTTGCATAGAGTCACTTGCGCAGAGTCAAGTGCAAATAGAGCCAAGTGCATAGAGCCGAGTGCACAGAGCCAAGTGCAAATAGAGCCAAGTGCATAGAGCCGAGTGCACAGAGCCAAGTGCATAGAGCCAAGTGCATAGAGCCAAGTGCATAGAGCCAAGTGCATAGAGCCAAGCGCATAGGGCCAAGTGCGTAGAGCCAAGTGCATAGAGCCAAGTGCATAGAGCCGAGTGCATAGAGCCGAGTGCATGGAGCCGAGTGCATAGAGCCAAGTGCATAGAGCCAAGTGCATAGAGCCAGGTGCATAGCGCTTCGGCGTTAGCAGCTATGTAAGTTAAGGGCGCCGGTGCAGGACTTTGATCGTCGATCGGGTTTGCGACCCTCTGCGGGGATCGGCGTGGTCGAGGTGCAAAAACTCGAGGATTTTTTGCGATGTCTGATCTGCCCGCGCAACCCTCTGCGGGGATCGGCGTGGTTGAGGTGGAAAAACTCGAGGATTTTTTTGCGTTTTTGCGGTGCACTGCGGGGATCGGCGTGGTCGAGGAACAAAAACTCGGTTTTTTTGCGATGTCTGATCTGCCCGCGCGACCCTCTGCGAGGATCGGCGTGGTCGAGGTGCAAAAACTCGAGGTGTTTTTTTGCGTTTTTGCGGTGCACTGCGGGGATCGGCGTGGTCGAGGAACAAAAACTCGAGGTTTTTGCGATTTCTGATCTGCCCGCGCGACCCTCTGCGGGGATCGGCGTGGTCGAGGTGCAAAAACTCGAGGTTTTTTGCGATTTCTGATCTGCCCGTGTGACGCTTTGCGGGGATCGGCGTGGTCGAGGCGCAAAAACTCAAGGTTTTTGCGATTCTTGCGGTGCCCGCGCAACCCTCTGCGGGGATCAGCGTGGTCGAGGTGCAAAAACTTGAGGTTTTTTGCGATTCTTGCGGCCCGCGCGACCCTCTGCGGGCATCGGCGTGGTCGAGGTACAAAAACTCGTTTTTTTTTTGCGATGTCTGATCTGCGCGCAACCCTCTGCGGGGATCGAGGTGGAAAAACTCGTGGTTTTTTTTTTGCGTTTTTTGCGGTGCTCTGCGGGGATCGGCGTGGTCGAGGAACAAAAACTCGAGGTTTTTTGCGATTCTTGCGGTGGCCGCGTGAACCTCTGCGGGGATCGGCGCAAAAACTCGAGGTTTTTTTTGCGTTTTTGCGGGGCGCGGATGAACCCTCTGCAGGGATCGTGCGTGTCGACGCGCTCTCGCTGTGGCGCCGTGCGAATTCGTTTTAGTCTCGGCGAACCCTCTGCGGAGATCGTGTGTGTCGAAGCGCTCTCGCCGTGGTGCCGTGCGATGTTTTATTCGCGAAACGGCCTTCGTGGTTTGCGTGCCTGCTTTCGCAATCACGCGGTTGCGGGGTCGATTCCCCCTGGTCCGCGGCAGCTCCGGCTCAAGCAAAGAAGCTGTAGTATGTGGAGTGTACTCCTGGCGGCTCCGACCGAAAAATCGCAACCCTGAAGCGCAGACGTATAGTGCGCGGAGCACCTCCACAGCTCAGCTCAGGCTGAGCATCTTGCGCGCAGATACAAGCGCCGAGCGTCTTGCGGAGAGAAACTTGTACAACGTGCACAGAACAGCTTGCAGACAGATGTACTTGCGTGCAGCAGCTTGCAGAGAGCAAGTTGCGCGCAGCAGCTTGGAACAATGCACAATGCAGCTTGCGCAGACACTGCCATGTTTCCTCTCGTAGGACGATGAGATGGAGCTCTCATGTGTCCATGGCATACACATTGAGCATCGCCGCGTGCAGACACGCTCGCCGCATCGATGTAAAAAGAAGTCTCTGCGGCTGGAAGAGCGCTTGGGGAAAAATGCCTTCGGGCCAATGAGTCCTCTAGTTTCTTAAGGTGTTTCATACTTTTTCAATGAAATGCCAACAGCTATGTGTTTCCTGACTGAAATAAACAATATAATCACCAAAAAGCGCACGCTCAGGGTGACCTGTTCTGAAAAAAAAGGGGGCGCCCTCAAAGAAGGACACACCCAAATCTGTGGAAAGCCTAGTTTCGTACTTAAAGGGGCCGGGTACTTCGTGGGTGGTTCGCAACTAGGGTATACTCATGGCTTTTGTGGGTTCCAGCCATGGCTACTACCCGCTTCCTAAGTACCCGATCGCCCCTCTAAGTACTTGGTGGCTCCCAGCCATCCCCTTAGCTTCTTAGCTTTTTGGTGTTGAGTGGGGTCTTCCATTTACACCACTAAAAGCTAGTCACTTTTGGGGGGGATCTGAGGACAGCTCAGTTTTCCTCTCCCGACTCGTGCAGGAGGCGGTGGCTCAGCGTTGGCGCTCTGGCTACGGCGTGGGGGGCCTCGGGGGCATCGGGGTTTGGGGGCTGAGGCTGTTGGAAAATGGGGCTCCAAGGCGGAATGTTTTTTTTGTTCTTTTTGGGGGGAACTCATTTTGGTTGGTCTTCGGGAATCCCGTTGTTTTTTTTTTTGGGGGGGGGGAACTCATTTTGATGGTCTTGCGGAATCCAATTTTTTGTTGTGGGAGGAGGGGGGAACACAAAAGATGATGCAGCAAATGTGAGCGAATTTAAGTGAGCGGTGCAAAGGTACCCGTATGTTTGGTGTGGCATACAGTGATGAGCGGGGTAGCAGGTGCCTTGTTGGTGGGTGGGTTGGGTTGGGTTGGGTTGGGTTGGGTTGGGGTTGGGGTTGGGGTTGGGGTTGGGGTTGGGGTTGGGGTTGGGGTTGGGGTTGGGGTGGGGTGGGGTGGGGTGGGTGGGTTGGGGCTGGGGTTGGGGTTGGGGTTGGGGTTGGGGTTGGGGTTGGGGTGGGGTGGGGTGGGGTGGGGTGGGGTGGGTGGGTGGGTTGGGGCTGGGGTTGGGGTTGGGGTTGGGGTTGGGGTTGGGTTGGGGTGGGCTGGGCTGGGGTGGGGTGGGGTGTGCGTCGTTTTGAAGTGGAGCAAGGGAGACCAAAGGGAACCTCCCAGTTTGGGGCTTCCTCTCAATCCTTCATGAAACCAATCGGAGGGAGAGGAGCCCTGTGAGTACTGCCAGCGGCACAAGTTGGAGGCTAGATCTCTCAAAATTAGCGCCCAAATCCCCGATCGACCATTGTGGTCGGTGGTTCCACAAGCAAGCATGGTACAACAGTCAATAGACTCTCTTGAGATCCTGAAAGAAAAGGTTCTACTACCTGGTTGAATAGGGGCTGTAGTAAGGCCCATACAAACCTTTCTAACCGTTTTAGACCAACAGGGCAATGGGTTTTGGGTGCTGCTCGAACGGATTTCGGACCCTTTCGGTTGGTATATAAAAACGCCGTACCTGGTTCGGAACCATAGAACTTGGCTTACCAGGCAGATTTGGGTTTGTCTCCAACCAACGGTGGATGGACGAAATCCTGCACCGCCTAAGAAACCCTGGACATGGTTCGAACCTGCTGTAAATACCAACAAACAATGGTTTCAACCATGGTTTCAAAGTGCTGCGAATCGGATTTCGTCCATCCACAGTATGCCCTAAAACATGAGTCATGTTCCTTTCCCAAGGTCTGAAGGACTCGCCTCGCCTCACGCGTTCTCCCACGAGCTCTCTGAACTGCCGCCGGCGCGGCAAAGCGGCGGCCCAGCGGCGAGAAGGGCATGGATCCAGGGCACGGCGAGACCGAAGGTGGCTTTGGAAGTTGAACAAGCCGTCCGCCCGCCAAAAAAAACACGGGGCGTTACGTCTCCTTAGGCTTTCTTCTTGACTTGGTATGGGGGCAAGGAGCGCCGGCTCTTTTCTTTTTCGAAGCATGGCGGGTTTTCGAAGGGGCGCAAGATCGAGCCGTCCACCACGGTTTGAGCCAGCCCGCGTCGCTCCGGCTGAAGTTTCGGCGCCGATGCCGAGCGTCTCGAATGGCACCTTGCGGGTCACCTGGCGACAAGTCCCGGTGGTTTTCTTTCAGTATCCCAAAGGGGCTCCGGGAGCACCATGCAAAGGATTCGTGCTGGCGATTGTTTGGTAAGATTGTTTGGAGATTGTTTGGCAAGATTGGCAAGATTGTTTGGCAAGAGTGTTTGGCAAGATTGTTTGGCAAGATTGTTTGGCAAGATTGTTTGGCAAGACAGCACGGCACAGAATCTGCGGTGTGTTCAACCACCTGCTAATTGGTTTGGAGTGCGAGTTGAGCCTTTGCATGGTTGGACGGACCCGGATGAGACCGTGTCAGGAAAAGGCGACGCCACGACGGGCCGATTGGACAAAAGTGGCGGTTCGCTCCGAACGATTCGCGCAAAACTCTCCTTGGTTTTTCGAGTGAGGGCTATTCAATTTGCTGCCCCGCGCCAACACGCATGCAAACATGGGGAACCTGTGTTTCTCGGTTTCGGGACTTTTAGGACAGTTGACCATAGAAGAGCATAGCAGTACCAAGCTTCTTCCGGAAAGCAAGCGCCGAGATCAAAGGCAGTGTGTTCATGGTTTGAGCATTGACTGCTGACTCTACTCATTTCAACCTGAAGCTCTTGAATGCACCATGCGAAGCTTCCACGCCAGGTAAGGGCAGATGCATCAATCAGCCAGAGCATCGCTGGCGCTTGTCCTGCATCTCAACTGGTGCCCTGTCCATGTCTTGTCTTTGAACATCCGCGTGGCTGGACTTCCATTGCCTCGTTGAACTCATGATATGGTTGATATAAATTTGTTTTGTTTGGGGGACCCCCCCATAGTGGATGGGTTTCAAGTGGAGAAGGCCACCATCCATCCATCCATATATTTGAACTCAGAACTTCCTCGACTCGCGGTCAGCCGAAGGTTGGCTCAGGCCTTTTGCGGCCCCTTTCGCCATGGCGAGCGAGGCCTGGCCCAGACAAAAGTGCGCGCTGAGGCCGATGCCAAAAGCGGATGTCAGGATTTGTGATGGACAAAATCCGAGTCCTGAATCGAGCAGGTTGGGTTCGGTTAACCAACCATGTGTTGCGGCTTTATGTCAGGTTTGGTGCTTGTTTTTTGAACAGGGGTCATGGGAACTGTCCAAGGAGTTTCGCGGTGGGGATGAACAATGTGGTTTTGGGTGAATTTGGTTGAACACATATGGCTTCCACTGCTTTGAATTTGAATCATTTCCCCGGGGAGCACGTCTAGTTTCCAAAAGGATGACCTAGGCTCTTGATTCGCTGGGTCTTCCGAGCCCTCGGCGGGCTCTGGGGCCTGGTGCATGCGCATGCAGGCGTCGGCCGCCATCAAGAAAGTCTCCAGCGCAGGAGATGACTACTACCGCATTCTAGGCCCGCCTTCATAGCGGGGGCGTTTTCTGGTTGCAAAACGCGGGGCTCATGTGAGTCACAATCAAAGCTTCGGTGTTAACACTACCCCAACCAGCGTAAAGAACTACAAAGGCGGCGGCACCTAGTTCTTCTTTGGGACGGTCCCTCACTAACCTTTCACCTATCTGAGAGTTTTGATTGTGGCTCACCTTTGGTTTTGGTTTGCGACTGGCACCGTCTCTCAAGGGTTGCATGCAGAGTCTGCTTTTTTGGGATCCCGTGTCATTTCTTGGCCGAAGGGTATCGCACCGCTCCGACCGGTTTCAGCTCACGCATCCAGGGCAGATGTTCTACGTGCGGAGGTGTCCTTCTTGGCAAACCTCGTGCGGTCCAAATCCAGAAGCTTACCTCTTAAAGACACAACACTTTTCTCAACTGTTTGTGGGTAACATGGGCTATATGTCTGTAAAAGATGAGAACTTCCCCAGGGCTTGGAGTTTTAAGGGGAGTCCAGAATCCGGCTTTGGGGGTGGGGGGAGATGGCCAAAGGAGCATGGAACCCGCTTGAAATCATGAGTGTCCAGAATGGATGCGGCGTGTTTGACCTGCTGGCTCTCAGCAGGGAATGAGGCTTTAAGGGAATCCCAGGTTCATTCCCAAAACCCGGAAGGTCATTCCCTACTGAGCACCAGCAAGTTTTAGAATACACGTTACCCTGGTGCCAGAGTCTCCAAGTAGCAATCTCGGAGAATGATCCTTTGGCTGCTGAAAAGACATGCAGCTCGCTGGGATGCCGTTTTCCACATGCCAAGAGACATGGGAAGCAACCAATGGCCAGGTGTTGACAAAGGAGCAACTGATGACGAGATCAAGAAGGCCCGACAGACGGGCGGCAGGGCGGACAGATGTGTTTGGTGGCAGTTCCCTTCAAGCATACCTGGCTCTTGGTCACTCAAGTAGCACTCTGGAGTCACCCTACTCTACTCAACCGGCCGCACCGCAAGCGCACGAGCGCAAGCGCGCGCCTTCAGTGGTTCCTTTCTCAGCATGCTCTCCCCGCATGAATCATTCTTTGCCCTCGCGAAGATGGCGTTTCCCGGAAGCAGCCATTGGAAACTCTACAGTCTACCTGTGGTTTATTCAGTTTGGCAGTGGCGTGACTCTCCCAGAAGTATATATATATATATACATGACGACAGTGGTTGATTACAAGGTAGTTGCAAGTCGCTCAACTTCGGATGAATCCAGGGGACCGTGTTCCTTTGTAAGGACCTGATCTATTTTAGGAGGCTTCTCGGATTTGTACCCCGGATGAATCCGAGATGAACCTGAATGTGGGGACGGCAGGAACGTGCTCCATCGGAAGGTGAAAACCGCCCAACCAACTTCGCAACCCAAGTATGTTGCGGTTGAACTCTGGGCCTGCGTTCGTGGTTTCATTTTGACCCGTACCCATGTCTCTAGCATGTTTCTGGGAAGAAAAGCAACTCGGCTTTTTCACTTTGGCCCCGGGTTCGGGAGGGCAAGGTTGATTCTGCGCGTCCGGCGCTGCTTCCCCGCTGACGGGCCGGGCTTGACCTCACGGGGACATTTGCGTGCCCCGGGCACAACCCCCGGCTTGGGCCTTCTCAAGTTGCCAATTTTGGGTGTGTCTCTTTTGGGCGGGTACCCCTTTTTTTGCTTTGGTGCATTTTGCCAAGGGCTGTTAGGACTTTAACTTTTTGCCAACTGACGGGTTTTCCGTCTTTTTCACCACTAGAAGTCGAGCTTTTAGCAGGGCTTCGCAGAAAACCACCGATTTTTTTTGGGGGTTTTAAGGGAAACGGCGCCCCTTTGCGCGGGTCCCCTTAAAAACCGACTCCCACGTTGCCGGTTGCTGCCGGTTTCCGCGAGGCGTACCGAAAACTGGCGCTCCGCCTGCACCCGGACAAGTGCCAGGAGCCGGGTGCCGAGGAGGCGGCCTTCTGAAAAACGGAGAAACGGGGGCGGGGGAAGTTCGACTGGAGATCTCCGTTTCTGGCAAGACTCGACTCAATGGAATGGGGGAATGGGGGAACCCCCCCCCGTTCCCTCCTTTTGGTAGGGGGGATGGCAGGGAGGCAAGTCGCAGCGGTGTTATTTGCTCGGTCCCTTTCCTCTTTGCAAGAATGTGGTTTCCAGTCATTGGAGTGTGCCCTTAAATCGTCAGCCCCGTTTATGGGCGTTCCACCCTGGGTGCGAAACAACATGAAAACTGTTCCCCCCCCCCCCCTTTTGAGATTTAGCCGGAAGCAAGGCTTTTTTTGCATGGTCTTTACGGGGAGGAACGGATACTCAATCCGATTACCCCGCACTTCCCTCTCTCGAAGAAAAAACGGCAAGGGGATGGAAAAGGAAGGCGCAGGCCTGCAGTGGTGCCCACTTTTGCTTCCGAGCGGCAGTGACGTTTGAGCGGGGAGTCCCCTGAGAAGTGGTGGGCATGGATCCCGAATTTTGATGTCCTCCATGGGTCCCCAACAAAGAAGTCCATGTTTCCACATGGGTGGTGGGTTTTAACCGGGCACCTCCTTTGGGGTTTTGAAGGGACACCACAAGGAAAACCGTTGCGCCATGTTGTCTGTGTGTGTGTGTCTCTGTGTATGTGCGTGTGTGCGTGTGTGTGTGTGTGTGTGTGTGTGTGTGTGTATTTAATGAACAGACCCCTCACACGGCGGGGTTGGGATCGCTCAAAAGAGCCCATGCCGCGGGTCGGCTCACACAGGCCTTCAAGCAGGTGGGGGAAGCGTTCTCCGTCTTGAGCGACGCTGACAAGAGGTGCTCGCGCGAGCGCGTTTGCGGGCCCGCCGGGTAGCGAAACACCTGGGGGGTGCGTTGTTTCTCGTTTCTTTCGGTTGGACGCCTGAGCATGGCGCAACGGTTTTTCTCTTGGCTTCGCTTTAAAGCCGACAAAGAGAAGGGGGTACCAGGACAACGAGACACGCCCATTGTTCAGAATTTTCGACATGACCCCACCGAAGAGAAAGTTGTAACTTGGAATTTGCAGCCAAAAGGCGATGATTCAACCACCCCAAACGGAATTATATCTTTTAGTAGAATCGGCTGGCCCTTCTGTGGTTTTGAGGGACCTTGCTGCGAGGTCGGCCATCCGTATCGCGGGAACTCGGTTCCCGGATGTGGCTACAGCTGTTCCCTTCTCACCTGTCCAGAGCGAGTCGGCCTTTGAATTTGTGTTTCCATTTATGGTCTTTTTGTAGTCAAGGTTCCAAAAGGTTGCCCTTTCTCCCACTACCGTAGCAACGGGGAGGGTACCTGGAAGATCAACTTGAAAGGACCCCCTGCCAGGTGCCATGTTAGTGGAAGGGAGGGTAACCTTTTGCTTCCATCTAAGAAACCAACTACAGGAAACCCCTGATTTTGGTGGGAATTTGGCTAGTTTCCTGTAGAATTT